TAGCATGGGGAACAAACAAGAGGAATTAGAGATATGTGCATGTCTATGGGGGTATCATATAATAGGCATCACAGAAACATGGTGGGATGGCTCCTGTGACTGGAGTGTTGGAATGGAAGGTTACAGGCTCTTTAGAAAAGACAGGCCTGGCAGGTGGGGAGCAGGAGTTGCGCTTTATGTTAGGGATAGGCTGGAGATTGCAGAACTGTCTGGGGACAGGTGATCAGTAAACAGAGTTTGTGGATCAGGGTTAAAGGGAGAACAGCAATGGGAGACATTACTGTGGGGATCTGTTACAGACCGCCTGATCAAGAAGAACCTGTGGATGAAGCACTCTATAGACAGATAGGAGAAGCCTCACACTCACAGGCCCTTGTTCTCATGGGGGACTTCAACCACCCTGATATCTGTTGGAGCGATGTTACAGCCTGGCACAAGCAATCCAGGAGGTTCCTCGATTGTGTGGAAGACAACTTCCTTCTGCAAGTAATAAAGGAACCAACAAGAAGAGGTGCCATGCTTGACCTTGTGCTCACCAACAGGGAAGGGCTCGTTGGAAATGTGATGCTCCAGGGCAGCCTTGGATGCAGCGATCATGAGATGGACGAATTTGAGATCCTCAGGACACTGAGAAGAGCGTGCAGCAAGCTCACTGCCCTGGGCTTCAAAACAGCAGACTTTGGCCTCTTCAGGAACCTCCTTAGTAAGGTTTCATGGGATACAGCCCTAGAGGGCAGGGGGGGTCAAGACTGTTGGATGATATTCAAGGATCACCTACAAGCTCAGGAGTGTTGCATCCCAGGTAGAAGGAAGTGCAGCAGGAGGGCCAGGAGACCTCCTTGGATGGATAAGGAGCTGCTGAGGAAACTCTGAAGGAAAAAAGAGGCTTATAAAAGGTGGAAGCAAGGACAGGCGGCCTGGGAAGAATACAGGGATGTTGTCCGGGAAGCTAGGGACCAGGTTAGAAAAAGCTAAGGCCCAGTTAGAATTAAACTTGGCTAGGGATGTTAAGGATAACAGGAAGGGATTCTATAGGTACGTAACAAATAAAAAACAGACTAGGGAGAACGTAGGCCCCCTCTGGAAGCTATCGGGAGAACTAGCTACACAGGATTTGGAGAAGTCTGAGGTTCTGGATGACTTTTTTGCCTCGGTCTTCACTGGCAAAGGCTCTGACCGCACCACCCAAGTCTTGGAAAGTAGATGCAGGGACTGTGAGAATGAAGACCTTGGGCCCACTGTAGAAGAGGAACTGGTTTGAGACCATCTTAAAAACCTGAACGTACACAAGTCCATGGGTCCTGATGAAATCCATCTGTAGGTCCTGAAGGAGCTGGCAAATGAAGTTGCTAAGACGCTGGCCATCATATTTGAAAAATCATGGCAGTCAGGTGAAGTTCCCGATGACTGGAAAAAGGGAAATATAACCCCCATTTTCAAGAAGGAGAAAACCGAGGAATTACAGACCACTCAGTCTCATCTCTGTGCTTGGCAAAATCTCAGAGCAGATTCTCCTGGAAGGCATGCCAAGGCACATGAAAAACAACAAGGTGCTTGGTGACAGCCAGCATGGCTTCACTAAGGGGAAATCCTGCCTGACCAATTTGGTGGCCTTCTATGATGGGGCTACAGAACTGATGGACAGCGGCAGAGCAGTTGATGTCATCTACCTGGACTTGTGTAAAGCGTTCGACACTGTCCCACACAACATTCTTGTCTCTAAATTGGAGAGACATCGATTTGATAGGTGGACCACTCCGTGGATGACTGGCTGAATTGCCGCACACAAAGAGTTGTGGTCAATGGCTCAACGTCCAACTGGAGACCAGTAATGAGTGGTGTCCCTCAGGGATTGGTGTTGGGACCGGTCTTCTTCAACATCTTTGTCGGTGACATGGACAGTAGGATTGAGTGCGCCCTCAGCAAGCTTGCCAATGACACCAAGCTGTGTGGTTCGGTTCATATGCCGGAGGGAAGGAATGCCATCCAGAGGGACCTTGACACACTTGTGAATTGGGCTGATGCCAACCTCATGAGGTTCAACCATGACAAGTGCAAGGTCCTACACCTGGGTCGGAGCAATCCCAGGCACAGCTACAGGCTGGGCAGAGAAGAGATTCAGAGCAGCCCTACGGAGAAGGGTTTGGGGGTGCTGGTCGATGAGAAAATGAACATGAGCCAGCTGCAATTTGCACTTGCAGCCCCGAAAGCCAACCACATCCTGGGCTACATCAAAAGGAGTGTGACCAGCAGGTCGAAGGAGGTGGTTCTCCCCCTCTACTCTGCTCTTGTGAGACCTCACTTGGAGTATTGTGTGCAGTTCTGGTGTCCTCACCATAAAAAGGACATGGAACTGTTGGAACAAGTCCAGAGGAGGGCCACGAGGATGATCGGGGGACTGGAGCACCTCCCATATGAAGACAGGCTGAGAAAGTTGGGGCTGTTCAGCCTGGAGAAGAGAAGGCTGCATGGATACCTCATAGCAGCCTTCCAGTATCTGAAGGGGCCTATAGAGATGCTGGGGATGGACTCTTCATTAGGGACTGTAGTGATAGGACAAGGGGTAACGGGTTAAAACTTAAACAGGGGAAGTTTAGGTTGGATATAAGGAGGAAGTTCTTTACTGTGAGGGTGGTGAGGCACTGGAATAGGTTGCCCAGGGAAGTTGTGAATGCTCCATCCCTGGTGGTGTTCAAGGCCAGGTTGGACGAAGCCTTGGGTGGAATGTTTTTGTGCGATGTGTGCCCATGGCAGGGGGGTTGGAACTTGATGATCTTAAGATACTTTCCAACCATAACTATTCTATGATTGTATACATGCTACATGTGTCTGGTAAGTTTATGTAGTAGGTGTATTACCTCAACTTGGAGTGTTTTAGCTGACAAACTTTAATATGTTTCACCTCACAACTGAATTTTATCTTGAAATGGGCTGTTTCTTCCCTTCTTGTGCCTAAGATTTATTTCTACTTACACTTTTCTGTCTCTCATTCCTTTCAGTATGCTTATAAACATACCCATATGTTTTCTTTTTGTCATACTTGCAGAATGTTGGTGTATCTTTAAGCTCTAGCAGAGATAGGAAGAAATATACTCCCACTTACAGCCCACGTAATCCATTCACCAGACATTCACTCAAAATGTAGCCTTTAAGTCTACATTCGTTTTGTTTATTCTTGACGTATCAGGAGCCTTGTCTAGAAATTTATAAATGCAGAGTGATTTCATAATACAGCAACTTCGATATAATTGGTTCATAAATACTATCCAGAATTTCGAGACTTCTCTGATGGGATGTGTAAATTCCAAGTATGTCAATACAAGATTAATGTGAGCTTACTTAGCCCATATGTAGCTCAGGAATGATACGTCTGACTCTGCTCATTATCTGACAAAAATGGAGAGGGATGAATATCTGACATAAAAGCAGGAGGTTAAGAAGAGACTTAAGATTGTGTTTAAATTCTTGCTTTTCTAGAACATGGAATTATGAATAAGTGATAGGTTTAGTACTGTGTCAGCTATCTCAAAGGCCTGGAAATACAGACAGATGTTAAAACACAACAGTAAGATCAGCAGGATGGGCTGGACTAAGCAGCTGTTTTTCACAAATACTTTGTCTAGGACTGTGATAATAGAAAGAAGCAGTAGCATGAAGTGGAGGAGGGATGGAAGAGGACTGGCATGGGTGTCAAGGTGCTACAGGTGCAGGGGAATAGGCAAGTATACCTCTGAAGCAACTGGCGTTCCCATTGTTGAGGGTTTGATGGGGGTGGGAGCTGGGTGGATTAAAGTCAGGGGAAACATCAATCCACTGTTGGAAACATAGAAGTCTAGGTTCTTCTTGCTCGTTCTTGTAACAAGTATATGGAGTAGGAGAGGTATACTTGGGAAGTAGACAGAGCCTTGTGGTGATAGTAGCGTATGGTGTCTTAATTTATATTTTTAATCAAGATGGATTTCTACAGATATTTTTATTTCTTATATGCAGGTTCCAGAACCTTGATAAATCTTAAGATGACAACATTTTAGTCTCTGTAAACCAAATATAATTACTATAATCAGATACTTCACATCATGAAACAAAAAACAGAATGAGGATATCACGCTAATTTATTTTCTGTTGAGCTATTCTTAAAAGAGAACCTATGGGAAAAGCTTATCATTTGTTCTTGGTTATTCTTCAGACTATTCATTGACTATAAATTATGTAAGTGTATTCCCAGATGTACTGGAAAACCAAAGATCGCCTCACCCAGCAATGAGAAGTTGTAATTGTAAATTTAAATGACAGTAGAGGCTATTTTCCCAAAGTATTTCCTCCATTTTTTTGAGGAGTCAGTTTGCTAAGGATTCGTTCCATTAAGAACTTTGCTGTTGAAAAGTATCTATCTTCCTTAAATATTGCTTGGTTTTCTGAAACCTCTTGCAGATGGGTAAAATACATAATTATTTTCTCTCCGGAAGAGCATCTTTAAATGGGCTTAAGCTAAAAAATAACAATGTACATGCCATCCCCACATCAGAAGCTTAGGGAGGAAGAATGTTGTCCTTATTACAAAGTATATGGAGAATTCTGTGAAGGTAGCATGCAATCGCTCTAATTCAATTTTGGCTGGAATATCTGGGTTTTTTTCTCAGAATACAGGATGTGGCATCTTTATGGAGCCTGAAATCATTAAAAGTATGTTTAAACTCTTGACTCCTTCATTTACTTCAATGGGAAAATATGTTTGCTGATCATGCTCTGGAGCTTTGGAAGGTCCATCATTACCACTGAAGGCTGAGTTCCTACGAGAGAAGATGCAGAAGGTTGTAATTTAAATTGAGGGAACATACCAGCAAACCAAGCCATGTAATGAAACAGAAATAGGAATGAGGCAAAGATGGAAATACTGGGAAAAGAGAAGAATAGAAGTATCGGAGCAGAGCTGGAGTTGTGTTTTAATATCAATTTGTGCTTACCAAAGGATATTAACTGCCAAACTTTTATCTTTATAGGAGGTTTATGGAGACTCATCTAAGAACAATTCCAAGTGATGCTTTTTCCAATCTCCCCAACATCTCTAGGATGTAAGTTCTGTTTCTGATATTATTCTTTTAGCTCTCTTATTTAAAATCACTTTTCTTCTTCAAAATTCTTTGTGTAGAATCTTCTGAAATGAAAATATTCTAGCACCTTTGCTACCCCACCACTTATATTGTAGAGCTGCAGGTAATAACCCCATTGTTTATAATCTGAACTAACTATGGGAAGGCATACTAAGTATTTTTAGACAACAGAACACCTGTATTGAAGTAGATGTGATAAATAAGGCCATAAAACTTGTAAAATATGAGAAATGGTTTCATTCATAACAAACAAACATATTCTATTGCTGGTTGTCCTGGGTTTAGCTGAAAAAATTGTTTCCCACTCCCAGCATCATTTGTAACTCATTTCATCAGAGACTCTGTGGCATTTCTGGACTAGGGATGGACTTTCACCAAAACATTAGTATTTGTGTGATATGAGAGAGACTCCATTGAGTCACTTCTTTGTGTGTAAACACATGCCCGGATACAACCTACATATGCACAACCAGCAGCCTCTACCTATTTGCTTCACATCAACATTTGTCCCTTTGAAAGTAGCTAACCTTTCACTGCACTGCTCATCAATGTCAACAGTCTTGAGACAAAGTTGTCCCACCTTTGCTTCTTCTTCTTGGTGGCTGTTCATGGCTATTTGATGTAGAGAACTTCTCTGCCATCTCCCAGTTCACTCCCTAGAACCAGAGAGTCATGTAATTTAGAAGAGACCTCTGAAAAGCCCTCTAGTCCACCCCCTGCTCAAGGTTGGGTTAACTGTGAGTTCCAGCCAGTGTACTTAGGGCTTTATCCAGTCTGATGTGTGCACTGTCAACTAAAGTAACTACCTCTTTCAGCAAGAGGCTCACAGTTTTCTTGCTCAGCCATTTATTACTAATCCAATACTCTGTGCTACTCTCTGTAACTCTTCTTGTTGACCTTGACATTCCTTGCAAGTTTCAACTTGAGCTGAGCTTTGGCTGAATGGCTGAGATGGACAAATACTTAAGAATTTATGAAACACGACTTTGGGGAGACATAAAGGTCTGCCTAATTACATTTTACAGTTTCATCCAGGTATACTGAAATAATTTCTAAAATCCATATAAGTAATTGTTCTAGAATATCTGTGGCATCATTTACCATATCAGTTTAATCAGATAGTGTATTCTTTTATTACTGGGGGGGGGAGAGAAATGTCCCTCATATGATCTGTAGTACCATATATAAACCCAGTAATCTTTGTTCAAAACAGAGTTTTAGTAAATGTAGAAAGATGTCAACTCTTCTTTGGCTTCCAGTGACACATAATCCATTGCTTAGACACACTTCAGATTTTAATATTCTCAAATGGTAATATTTATGAATTTGTAAAAAAGCCTTGCATTTACTGCCACATGCAGATCTGCTTCAAGTCCTGTGTTCAGGCTCCTTCTGAATGGGCAGTGGAGATTCAAGTGGTATCTGCAGACTTTCTCTAAAGCTGTAGGTTTGGTGTTTAATCTATGACTGTATTTGCGATGGGTGTTCAAGGCATTCTGAAATCCTGTGAATTAAACACAGCTAATAGGGAGAAGAGGTGCTGAATTGTAACAAACCTTCAAAATGGGACTTAAAGATGCTTTCTCTCTTTTTCTGATGTAACTCCTTTCAGTTCTGATTGATTGCTATGATTTTTATTTCTTACATTTAACATGTTGCATTATGTGTTAATTAACTAGAGCCCAAAGGTTTTTGGAATCACTCTGAACACTTGGAAGTAAAAGCTTATGCAACATTAATACATGTTTATGTTTGACATTCTTGTCTCATAAGTCATTTTGGATGTATTTGTGTGGGGTTTGGATGTTTACCTAGATTACACTAAAGCAAGTAAAACTACTCATTTCTCTGTCATCAGTGATGATGTGGTTTAATTAATGTACACAGATAAACCTGATAATGAAGCAGAAGAGTGGAGGTCACCACACAAAGAAAATAAACTGTTTCGCCCCACTTTCATCCCACAGCTGAAAGCTACAAAACTGTAACTTCATTAGTCCCGAGCCAGGCAGTATAATGAAAGTGTGACATGCAGTGTAGTGGGAAGGGACATGGTGGCTGTAGGGGTAAGGGATGGGAGGCAGAATCCCCATTGCCACTCTTCTGCCTTTTCTCATATGTGAGAAAAAAAAACACTTGCCTGCCTGATACAAGGTGATCAATTTTGATCAAGGAGCAGATGAAGAGTACTCCCTCGTTCCCAGCCCCAGCAGGAGGATACAGTGTTTATTATGCATTTTTTATTTAATATTCTGTCAAGCTGGTTTATATACAGCTGTTTGCTACACAGAACAACTTTTTCTAAATGTGTCACTGATATAACCTGTCTTTTGGTACATTAAAATGTAATAATTTTCTTTTGAGACTGAAACTCCAGTTTCCTGGGCAATAGACATTTATTGCTTACAGGAAAACAAAATTAAAACATCTCACATAAACATCTACCTGTGCACTACTCAATCACAGGGTACAGACTGGAAATACTTCTTTATTGTATCCCTCTTTTATTATCTTCCTTCTTTTTGGAACAGGTAAAAAGCTTTGTAAAAGCAACATTACTGTAGAAAGAGAATCTATTGGTCATACAACCACAACTAGTTACTTTTCCAGTATCTCTTCAAACACTGCTAAATACATCTCCCAAAGTGACCAATAAAAATTAAATCCCATGTCAGAAGAGTTAAAATTAGTTCAGGTAATATGCTTATAGCTCTGCTCTGGAGAGGACATTAGTTCTCTTGGAAAAGAGTGGTAGTAGTCATCTGCAGGCTTTTAGTGCATTTGCTGGTCACAAAGTATTCTTCCCAATTATTTAAAACTTATTACATATTTTTTAATATAAATTGAAAGAAATAAAGATTTATCATCTTTAAAATTTCCACCAAAAAAACATTCTGATCCATCATTGACTGTAATAAAAAGCTCTCTTAAGTTAAATGGTCATATTTCAATTTGCTATTATTACTTCTAATACTGTCATTGGAAAAACAGAATTAAAAAGGAGATGAGGCATATAATACATTATTTCTATTTATTATTACATTTTATTTTATTTTTACATCTGTAATTGATTCTACTCAATTTAATAATGATCAGGTTGCTTAGGGTTAAAACTATATTGAGTAAAATTAAATTAAAAATTAAAAACTATATTGAGTAAATAACTTTGATCAAGAGTATCAAAAGTACTTAAATATTTTAATATTAATGATAAATACAAAGAAGGTAGTCAAGTTATTTTAAAAGATCTATAGATTAGAAATATTATATAAAATATTATTAGAAAAGTTATTAAAATACAGGAATGCATCTTTTAAACGTTATTCCAACATTAATAAATTTTAAAACTAAAGAGATATTTTGAGGAGAGAGTTCCAGTATTATCATCTTCCTAACGATGGTGGGGCGACTAGAACTATTTTATTGTGTTTCAGTAGATCACTAGTGGTACAAATACTACTCAGTCTAAACTGTGTGCAAGTATTTCTTAAGCCTGGTGTCCGGTTTTGCTTCTGAGCCACTTTACTCCTTACATCCTTTATGACATTCACTGTAAGGCTAGAGTTTCTCTCTAAATTAATGTCAGAACACGTTTTTTTTTCTCAGCAATATCAAAGGTTGCTCTGATGATGTTTCTCTCTAGAGAAATTGCAACTGTTGTTTGCAATGATGGCCCAAGGGCCATCTTTGCTTCTTTCCTTCCTTTTTAGTAATTCGATACAGATAAATATGCAAATTTACCTGAGGGCTAGATCCCCTTAGAGAACTCCAAGGTGATTTTCAGTGGGGAGAAGGAAAGAAATACGATTCTGAAATGTGAAATACAGATGTTTGCTTTTGCTGCTTAATAGCACGGTTGTGGTTTTTTGATTTAACAGTATTCTGCAGTATACTGTGCATCTCAGGCATCAGTCAAAATCAAAATCCTGTTAAAAGTTCTTTCCTAAGACACTGTCTGTGTATCTGGAAATGTCATGGCAGTTGGATGAGAGAAATAAAATGGTATGACAGGCAGTAATGATGGTTTGCCATGACCTGAGACTTGTTTCTTTCCCTGTTTGATGGTGTTTAGCTACATCTCCATAGATGAAACACTTCAGAGTCTGGAGGCCCATTCCTTCAACAGTTTAAGTAAAGTCACTCATATGTAAGTATTGTAAATAAATAAATGAATACAGTGATTAAATGAATTTGTGGATGTGTGGAAATAACATCTATCTGTCTCTCTCATATATATATATATTGATGTTTGAGTTACCATTCTTGTCTCCTTTGTAGCTGAATATTCCTTTTCCCATTTCCTTTCTCCGTAATTTGGAGTCAGTTTCTTTTTCTTTGCCTTGTGCTCTCTTCCCCTACATCTTTTTGGATCCCTTCCTTTCCTGTATCCTCCGATAGAAGTGTAAGAAAGTGCAGTGAATATTAAGTGGGACTACATTATGAGCTCGATGGCAACTTGAAATAAACTGACAACTAAGAATTACTTTTGTCAAATTACTGAAGGTAAGTGCAAAACAGTAATATAAACACCAGAAATAAAATCAGAAGGACCAAAGCACAGAGCAAAATGGCACTAGCTGGAGACATGAAGAATAACAAGCAATCATTCTGGAAGTGCAAAAGTAAAATGAAGAGTGTTTATCTGGTTTTTAGATGCAATGAGAATGTTATGGACAAAGGCTTCTGGGAAGTGTTTTTATACCCTTCTGTTCTGACCAGTGCTCACTAAGTGATGCACTAGGGCAGTTACAAAAGTGGTAGGATACGTGCATCCACAAAGTTCTTGTCATTCAGCAGTACCCTATCAAAATGAGAAGTAATGTACTGAATAGAGCTTTATGGGATTCATCCTGTATCTTCCATATTTCTGTTACTGATCCAAATGAGGAAATGGAAAGTGTGCCAGTGTTGTAAACCTCAGTTAAGTTTAAGCTTATCATATTTCAGAGAAGATTTGTGTTTGCAGAGATTCCATGGGAGAGCACTTCCTGTCATCATGGGTCCAGAAAACACTGACAGAGAGGAAAGACTTCTGTGTCCAGAAAGAGAACATACCAGAAGCAGATACATCTTTTAAAGCTGTTGCAAGGGGTGAAAGCTACAACCCATTTTCCACACTGATGTTTGACAAAGCAAAAGTAATAATACTTTTAAATTAGACTAGGCAAGGTTCATGTTAGACTCTAGGAAATGTTTTCATATGGCTGGCATAAGTAAATCCTACACTCTTGCCTGTCATTGGAGACCTTTAAGGCTGTTTAATCAGAAACTCCATACATCTATTTAATCTTCACTCAGAGAGAAGATTGAAATAGATGATCTCTTAACACTGCTCTATTTCCTGTTATTTTTTCTCCCTTTTACTTCACACAGTGTGAAACAGAAAGGTTAATAAAAATGAAGGAGGTATCATTACTGTTACAGATAGAGAACAACTAATGTTGGAAAAGTGGAACTACCTGTCCTAAAAGTACCTGACAGGCAAAGCTAGAAGTCCAGGATCCTGAGCCCTAGTTCAGCCCAGTAACATGCTCTTGTATAATATTCCTCAGTGAATTTCATGGGAAGGCTTTGGTGTGATGAGTAAATATCTTGGATTATAACGCCATTTCCTCTTCTATAGATATTTTTTCCAGGCTTGTTGTATGTTCTCTCTTCCTCTTTCTCAGTTGTTGTGTCTTTAGGATTTCTTGTTCAACACAAACGAGCAATGAAACATTTACCAGCAGCACATTTTATAAGCAATGAATAAAGCATTTGGTACTATGCACTAGCAATTCCTCATGTAGTACTTGTGGCTCACCTCATTAGAAGTTAAAAGATAAAATGCTCTTGGGTCATTGCAGGATTCTTCCATGCAATACGTAGTATAGTATCTTTGTCTTGTTTTAAACTATATGGATAAAAAGGCTTCTGAGGATGGCTTGAGAGAAAAAAAGCTAGCTGGCTAAATAGCTGTTTTCTGTTGTTCCTGTATTAGATTTAAAGTGGAGAATGGACTAGAAAATTCTCCCTTGGGATCTTAATTAATAACACAAAACTCATCTCCTTCAAAGAGTAATGTAATGTATGCCTTTGAATATCATGAGCTCTTCCACAAAATGCACACTCCAGGGAGACCTCACCCTTATTATGAGGGTTGAGAGGCCCTGGCACAGGTTTCCCAGAAAACCTGTGGCTGCCCCATCCCTGGCACTGTTCATGGCTTTAAGAAATGGGTCTAGTGGAAGGTGTCCCTGCCTGTGGCAGGAGGGTTGGAACTAGATGATTTTGAAGGTCCTTTCCAAACTTAACCATTCTATGAGTAGTTTGAAGGAACGGTGGATGGAGCTCTGGTGTTGCCAGTACCTCCCAAGGCACTGTGATGTGCTCTGTAGCACTGCCTAATTTGTGTTTCTTTCTACTACCTAAAGGGTTGGCAGGGAATATAAGCAGAAGCCTTTTCTCTTGTCATCTTCAAATCTCTAACCACCCCCAAGGCATGTTTATATTCCTGCCTGGGAGGACAGCCAGTGCCCCTTGCCATAGCCTGCCTCTGTTACTGTTCCCCTTAAGTCAGGCTGGAGCACACCAGTAAGGTGCAAAACCACTGCTTTATCTCCCCCATGCCAGAACACAGGCCTGGATGTGCTGCCGATGCTTTAGGAAGCTTCAGGCCCAAGAGTCAGCAGAGTTCACGAGCATCTACATGCACAGCCCCTATGGCACAGGCAGCCAGGAGGGCATGGTGTTCAGGGAATCTCCTGACCTGCTATGCAAGGGTTATGGTAATGTGGCATCCTTATATTTCTCACAAGGCACTACCCAAAAAAGAACTGTACATAAATATATATATATATATTAATTATCTTTTGTAAGAGCCAAAAATACTACCCAGGACAAGACACCAGAACTTTACTCACAGAAGCTATAGGCAAACCTCAAACCTTTGCAGATAGCCCACAAAGAAGGGGCTACCACTCAAAAGCACTTCCCAGATTTTTAAAATGTTTGCAAGTAAAGCACACGTATTTTTTAATCAGGGAATATTCAGACATCTGGCAGATTAGGCAGTTACATATGAGCTGTAAAGAAAGCAATTTATAAATTTGCTTTTCTGAATGGCTTCCTTAACTCCTCTGATTTGTTAACACTTATTGTTGGGTTTGATTTATTTTCTGCAGAACAAGGTTATTCAGGGATAAACGTATATGTTGTGCTGTGCATTTCTTTAATGTTCTTCCAAATTAAATTAAATATTTGTTTAATGTTTCTTTAATTCTTCTTGCATAGTATTTTTGTTAAAATAATGCCAGGTAAGGACTATCTTAGGGTATTTTAAAGGAGGTTGAAGTTACTCTAACAGTTTGTAAAAGAAGTCATTTCACAGAGTTTAATCTTCACAGGTTGTTTTTCATGGATTTTTCATAAAGTGCAGCTTTATGTAAATATTTTTTTTTACCCTAAATTAATCTTATATACACAGTTTCATTTTAAAAACATTTAGTTTTAAACATAAGAACTTCTTAGGAGAAAAATCAGTGTTTGTGGAAGGGAGGAACTAATTGCTTTGGCTTGAGTCAAATGTCATGTGAATAGGTATCCTGTGTTCTTCATCATCCATGTTTGCCAAGCCTGTTAGAGTGCTTCAGCTTTGATCTTCAGTGCTCCACTTTCTTCATCCTTATTCAGTTTATGTGCCTCTATCCCAGCTTTCTGTTCCTTCCAAACCTCATCTCTCTTTAAGCATAGATCACATATTTATGAAACAATGCCTGTCAAGTGCTGAGCAACCTCTGCAAATTAAGGATACCGATCAGCTGCTGTATTTCAGTGGCCCAGATCTCATTTTGGTCGTAATTAATGACAAATTCACACTCTATGAAGATGAAAATCAGAGCCAAGATTTTGTGGGTTTTTTTTCCCCAGTTGTGTTAAATTGGTGTCACAATGTTTTCTTATTCCTTTTGGTTTTGCCTTTTTTAAGCATGTCTGTGAGACATACTTAACATCCTTACAAATTCAGAACTGTCTCTCCTGTACAATGGCATATGTATTTCTTTTATCCAGATACACTTTTGAAAGTATCCGATTAGCAGTCAGTGTCTCTGTGTACTTGTCTTACTAGTGGAGCTGCAGCTTGGTAGCATTACACTAAATAAAAAGCTTTTGTAATTAGGTCATTGTTTCTCAGGAAAACATTCCTGTGGAAGGAACCCCAGACAAATTCACTCTTTTCCCCTTCTCTGTGTCTCGCTTATGCTCCTTTGAGATCATCTCCCTACTCCCTTTTCGTCCTCACTTCAAAAGCTCCCTCCTCTTGTGCAACTACACAAACAGACCTCTCTGCATTTGGGAACAGGGCCAAAGGTTATGTTTCAAGTGACTTGCCCTCATATATGCGACATCATTTGAAGAGCTGGTGGGGGACCACTCTCATCTCTGCAGAGAGGTGGAGCTAAGGGCCAAGGCAGCTTTGCCAGCCTCCAGGCCAGGGCTGCACTTCCCTGGCTTGGACAGCTTCCAGAGCCAGGCTGTGGGATATGGTGCTGCAGAAAGGAGAGGCGATATGATGGAAATATCCGAGATGCAACTGGAGAGGGAGATTGAAGAGATCTGGGGGACTGCTGTGTACCTGCAGGGAATTTCAAGGCACTGAAATTTTGTGTCATGCACAAAAATCTTGTTAAAAGCTGCAGTCTGGAGGCAGGGGTATGTCGATATTGCAAAGCAGGCATGAAAGATATGTCTGGTAAATGAAATTCGTACACCGCTTAAGCAAATGTGCCTTTCAAAATGTTACTAAATTCATATAGGATGCTATGTAGCTTATTAACCTTTCTAGAAATTATCTAGTGAAATTACATCTCAGTAATTAATTCACTAGACTAATACAATGGATAATTATTATTAGTTTCATTTTATATTAATTTGGATTTTGAGCTAAATATTCATGTCTTTTTAACCGAACATAAGTTCATAGTTATTTGTAAGTCTGGATGCAGGACTTCCTATCAAAAAGTGACTTTCTCTGCATATCTACCAATTCTTAATTGGTTTAGGCACTTTTAAAAATAAAGCAGAAGCTCAATAGTTTGTAAAGTAACTTTGAATAATTTTGTAAATATGCCGCAAATAATTCTGTTATAGTTAGGTAGCAACATCCTTTCTTCTTACAAGTATATCTAAGCAATTTTAGTTAGGACTGAGAAGTGAAATATTTATTCAGGGCACCTTTTGCCTTTCTGCATCAATGGTCAACAAAGATGCCTATTGTCTTAGGTTTTCTTATATCTTTAAAGCACTTCATTCCCAGAATAATTCAGAATTGTTACATTGCTTTTGGATGCAGAATTTAAGCACTGCATTCTATGATTAAGTTGTATTTATGGGGTGTGTCAAAGTTCCACTTCAAAAGTCACTTAAAATCAGCTCTCACAGACACTTAGATACCTTGGAACTAACCTACTAGGTATTTTTAAGTTTGCTCTTCACCTTTATCTGCATTTTAGGCAGCTAAAACTACTAATAGTTTTCCTAGAGTTACTTTTGAAAGGAACCCTAGCTTTCTAAATCTGTGGGTTTCAATCATTCCAATTCACCAATGCAAATATAGATACAGTATATATTAAAGCATAATTCTTCCATAATTGCAGTATTACCAATTCAAGGAAATCAAACAGCAGGGACATAAATCTTTTATCCTACGTTCAGTCGAATCATATTGATTTCTTCATTTACGTTATTTAAGCTTTTCTCTGACTACAGTGCCAACTGTCTCATCTGGCAGTTCTAAATCTTTTATTCCCAGATTAATTAGTTTTTCATTTGCCTTTGTTAAACAGCACATGCCCTCTCATGGCCTAGTTACTTAATAAATCAGAATCTGATTGAATCTCACTGCACTATTTTGTGCTTTCAATTGTGCTGCAGATTCTGAATTCTTACTTTCAGTACCCTCATCCAAATTCTTACTTTCAGTACCCTCATTTATGCAGAATACTATGAATAGCAACAAGCCAAAACCTTATGACTTTATGGTACTCTGATGCATTATCCATTTCCAGGCTGAAGGCTGATCTGAAGACTGCCTTTCCCTGGAATATTTGGCCCACTGTCTAACCAGGGGGCCCATGAGTCCAGCATTTTAAATGTAGTCAGTGATGGAAAAGCATGTCAATTAAAGCTGAGCAAATACCACTGTTGGGAATATGATAGCTATAGAACTAATAAATTAATTTGAGAGAAGCAACAGCCATTGAGAAGACTTCTTTTACATACAGAAACAGTACTGTTCAAAGTAGCTAACAGATATAAAGAATATTTTAATACAGCACTGTAATTGCAGTAGTATAACTATTAATTACATCAGTTTAACATTCATGTAATTCATCACTGTAAGACTGATTACTCAGCATGCATAGTGGTCTTGAGCTAGTGCTGGCCAGTACAAAAGCTCATTGCAAGAATCGAGTCCCTGAAATTTCATTTTAACATTGCTGATTTCTGTTACAATAGATAATTAAATATTAAAAACCAATGTGGTGATGTTCCTCCCTTTTTTACAGTGAAATTCGAAATCTTAGAAACTTGGATTATATAGATCCAGATGCCTTTAAGAACCTCCCACTTCTGAAATATCTGTAAGTATTTAGCACCTGTAACAAGCTGGCACTTAAGCCTCACAGATGACTCTACATTATAGCAGTTTTGTTTCTTTGCATTTCATTTTGGAATTGATTGCAATGTTTTTCCTTGATGTTTCATTTCAATGACAGAAAGCCAGTTAGGGTAGGGGCTGGAACTTAGACTATGTTTGCAAGAAAGGAAAACGTGTGCACAGTTCAACAGTAATTTTGCCATTCTTCTCATGCATTAAATGTCTGAAATATACTAGGGTCGCCTTGGCAAAATTCCACAGCTAGCTTTCTTCTTATGATAAGTATACTTTTTTGTATGGAATATTGGGAAGAAGGGACACAACAGAGATATTACACATATTTTATATTTATATTTACACAGGGGTTTAAAGCATACCTGTCAGCTAAATGTGAAAGACCACCTATAGACACTTGATTTAATGTAGTCTCTGGCAGAAAGAAATCCTGAAGAATTTTCTGTATTCCCATGACGTTTCTAAAGAGCAGCACAGAGTAGACAAACCATGAAATTCTAAAATTATAGCATAGGAAAGAGAGATGAGAAAGAGTATCTTCTGTGATTGAGTAATGTTTAGAAATCTTTAAAAAGGGGGGTCATGATAAGACTCTGTTGTAGGGGTACTGGTGAAAAGGAAAGATTTTTCCTATAGATCTGAAAGCAATATAAAGAAAGAAGTTTAAATAATTTCATTTCAGGGTAACAGTTTTAAAAATCGAGAATTGTATTTTCTTATTTCCACTCTATAGGAATTCAGAAATAAGAGACATTAACTGTCTTTACATTCAAAACTATCTTCCCCTTTTAAGATCTTAGCCCCAGTGAAAGATAGCGGATTTGGGGGTCCAGACTATTGTCTGAATCTCTCAATGAATCCAGAGTTATCAGGTTTTTTCTCACCTCATATGCTACTCACTCCACAGATACGGTCAGCTGTCTGATTATTCTGTATTTCCATTTTTTAGATGCTATAATATACCATAAATCTGGTATTTTGATTTTTTAATTGTACTTGCATCCTTATATTTTGGACAGTTGATTATAAATTAATTGCTTGACAATAAGGAGGATGAAATAACTGTTCTGAACTGTTGAATGTTTTAAATACATTAGTTGTGGTTGTTCAGTAATCCAGTACATATAATTCTGTTTCTTCTCTTTTTCAGTGGTATTTTTAATACTGGACTCAAAGCATTTCCAGATCTCACCAAAATCTACTCATCTGATGTGAACTTTTTACTGTAAGTATCTCGCCTCACGGGTGGTTAAAACATTACCATCCTCAGATCCCAAGAAAGCCTACAGTGAAGGTTTCTAGTTTGAAGAAAAACATGAAATATGTCTGCCAAAGCTCTTCTCCAGCTATATTTCAATCATTATTAGTACCAGACCCGGAAAATGACAGGTCACATAGCATTATACATTGGACCTGGATGGAAGACATAGACGCTCAAGTGCATTTCTCTTGAATCAGCCAAAGCACACAATACACAATTTCTACAATCCCACATGTACCTTCTGACCTGAGATAAACTAAAGTTATTCTGTGCTTTTATTTATTATGAAGGCAGAGAACAATTGTAATAAAATTGTTCTGGAGGAGCTCTGTTGGGCAGATATTTGATTGTGATGTCTTGTCTCCTTTTTCAGTGAAATTGCAGATAATCCTTTCATGACTTCAGTGCCTGCAAATGCTTTCCACGGGCTTTGTAATGAATCTCTAACTCTGTAAGTTCTTCCAGTTCAAGTTGCAAGACAATTACCTCTCTCAAGCATATGGTAAAATGTTTTAAAACCCCCAAATAATCCTTGTCCTACTCTAGTAGTTTGTAACAAAGAAACACTATAGACAGGCAGTTTCCATAATCTAATTTGCCTAAACCCTTTACTTTAACAGTGATCTGAATCAGCCCTACTGCTTTTCTTTAAACTGGCTTGACCAAAGTGGTTTTGCTTTTGTATGACCCTGATGTCAGTAAATGGTTATATTGGAGGAAAATCAATGGGAAAAGGTTGCAGATTTCTCCTTCTGTAAAGCTACAGGATGGTTAGAACTGTGTCTAACTTTTTTGCAGCCTAAGTGTCACATACCGTGAAGGCAAATTTCAGAAGAGTCATATTTGAAAAACTGTTAAATAAAGTTCAGTTATGCAAGCCATACTCAATGTTAACTACAGGAAAGGGTGGAGGGGAGTGAAAATGAATATCTGAAAAGTCTTTTCCTACCTAAATAATTCTATGACCTGAACTAGGAGAAATTAAAAAAAAAAAAAAAACAAAAAAAAAAACCACCAAAACAATCATTTTGCTCTAAGGGAGCAAAAGAATGATTTGTAAAAAGTCAGGCAGGCCTGATAGAAAAATCCTAGCTATTTTGCTTGGTATTAGCTCCTTTAGCCTTCCTTAACCAGTCCTAGCAGAATTTTCTTTCCTTGGGTTTAGTTTGAGGGTGAGAAAGTTATAGCAGTGTGTTTTAGTCTAGTTCTATCTTTGCTGTAAAAAGAAGTAGAAGATGGCACACCTGCCACATGGTGTTCTTATTCAGCTGCATTCAAGAATGCTGCTGGGCATTTGTTTGACCTTGCACTATAACTGCTGCTTCTTCAAGGAATTTAAAATTAACCCATCCATAAATGTGCTGTTGCCAAGAGAAATGATCCATACAATGTTAGGTATTCTGGTACTGAAGCAACCAAAAATACATGTTTTTTTTTTTTTCTTTGCTTGTAGCAAACTCTACAATAATGGTTTTACCAGCATACAAGGCCATGCTTTCAATGGGACAAATCTGGATGCCATGTAAGTAACAGACCATTCTTTTCTTTCAGGAAAAAAAAAATAACAAAACCCAACTCTCTGTGCTTGTTGTAAGCTCTTAAATATATGTCTTATTCTAATTATTTTTAAGGAACAAAAAGAAGATAATTCCAGCCAGCAACAAAAACATTAGCACCTAATGTCTTTTGCAGCCTACTTTCATTTGGGATGTATATTTATTTATAGCTCAGAAATCAAATCATGGCGGGTAATTACAGTGTAATTTTGTTCTGGTTTGAAGCTACAATAGAATTTCCTTTGATCAGTAACATTTCTAAGACAATTTGGAAGATAATTATACTGGTTTACTTACATGACATTTATTTTGCTAAGCGTAACACTGATGATGGTAGCAGCCCTTTCACAGAAATTTCTCATCTACAAAAAAGAGTAGTGTAAGGTGTTGGAAGCAATTCAGAGGAACTGGTCACTGGCATGAGGAATGAGAGGTGGACATCTCAAAAACACGAAGTAACAATTTCAACTTTCCATTAACCTTATTACAGTTTCTGGAAACTAACACTTAGTGAGTCAATATCCTTTATACACCATATCCAAATCATCTGCCTCAACCATTAACACATAAAACATCTCAATTCCAGAGGCTCCATTCACTTTGGCAGAGCTTACTCTGGCTTTACAGAGGCTTCGCTAAAGAGCCTGACTAGCAATCATCTCATGAGTAAAGAGGTTTCTTCATCATGAGTTCTTAAATTAACCAGAGAGGCATGAGGACAGATAAAAGTATTTTCAATACTTCATTTTAAATTGGGCTTGAATTCTTTAAGAGCATCCTGAGATGCTGTTATAAGAGCAAATGCCATATTCTGCACCTGGGATGGGGTAAACCTGCTTACACATGCAAACTGGAGACAAGAGGCTGGAGAGCAGCCCTGCAGAAAGAGATCTGGGGGTTTGGGTTGATGGCAAGTTGAATATGAGTCAGTGGTGTGCCCTGGCAGCCAAAAGGGCCAACTATGCCCTGAGGTGCATCAAACACAGCATTGCTAGCCAAGGTCGAGGGAGCTGATTGCCCCACCTGCACTGCACTGAAGCACTGTGTGCAGTTTTGGGTGCCTCAGTGTAAGGACATCAAACTGTTAGAGTGTGTCCAGAGGAGGGCAATCAAGATGGTGAAAGGCCTCCAGGGCAAGATTTACAAGGAGCAGCTGAGGTCACTTATTTTGTGGAGAAGAAAAGGCTGAGAAGTGACCTCATGGCAGTCTACAACTTCCTTAAGAGGGGCAGTGGAGAGAGAAGTGCTGATCTCCTCCCTCTGGTGTCCAGCAACAGGACAAGAAGAGATCTAATGGAGCCACAGCAGGGGAAGTTCAGATGGGACATTAGAAGAGGGTGAGAGGGTGGTCAGTCACTGGAAGAGGCTCCCCAGGAAACTGTCAGGACACCAACCCTGTTAAGAGTTCAAGGAGCATTTGGATGATGCTCTTAGGAAGCAGGGAGTTGGACTCAATGAGCCTTATGGATCGTTTCCAAATTGAAATATTTTATGTGTCCCTACCCACGGCAGGGGGGTTGGAACTAGATGATCTTAAGGTCCTTTCCAACCCTAACTATTCTACAATTTTAAGTGATTCTTTCCAGCGACTGGCTATGATGCCCTAGTTAAATAAGTAAATAAGTTAAATAAGTAAAAAAAAAAACAACAAACAAGCCAAAAAAAAAAAAAAAACCAAACCAAACCAACCTGAACAAACCAAAACAAACAAAATCTCAAATGAAAAAAGAAACTATAACAAGGCTTACTTTCAGGGCTTTATCTACCAGCCATAAAAGTGGTTTATTACAACAAAGAGTTTTCTCCTAATTAAAGCATATCTCATTTTCCTGGAGCAAAGCACTACTCCAGATTTACAAGGTAAACCAGGGAGCTGAACATCAGTGGTAAAACCTTTATCTGTTTGATAAACTACACCGAAATTTCTAAACTAATTTTCTGAAGTGGTTTGGTTACCATATGCCAAGATAAGGTGTAATTTTGCTAAGTGCAAGCTTGGAGATTTATTGTTTCTAGTAGCATCATTAAGTTAATGCAAAAGGCAAATATTTCTTTTTCTGTATTTTGACATTTCTAATTTGAACTCCTGTTTATCTACCACTGTACAGTGAAGAAGGTACCTGTTTTTCCCTGGGTCTGATCCCAGGCTCTTTGGATCTGATGCAACTAGGAGCAAAAAGAAACAAAAAGAGTGAGGGAAAGAAATTTTAATGGGTTTTAAATGATAACATGAAGGAGGAAAAAAAGTAAAAAAGGAAAATAATCATAACCAATAATTCACTTTTGACAAATTTTTCAAAGACCCTATGTTCCATCCATACATCAGAAGACATTTTGGGAATCTCAGAGGCTGCCTTCTACCATGCAGTATGCCTTTCTAGCACTCCTGCAGTCTTAAAAGACCTGTGTAATTTAAGGATATCAAAACAGTCAATGCAGATATAGCAGTGAAACCATGCATAAATGGTTTTCATCATCATACTGAGTAATGGCACTACTACCTAATAAATCTGCAAACCACAGTATTACTGTATATGTTTTGTAAAGGTAGGGAAGTAAAAAAAAACAGGATGAAGTGCCAGATGACACTTCTACCCAACCAGTGTTCATCTGAAACCTGAATCCCTCATTCTAACACATCATTAAGGGCAGTGAACTGCATCACTCCTGCAGACTTCTGCAAAATGGTGCTTCTGCACCAATGTTTATTTCTGTAAGAAAATTGGTGAGGAAAGAACATTTTTAAAAACATACATCCAGTGAATGGCAAAATTTATATGATGAGGTTTTACAGAGCTGTCTAAAATACTGAAATGGGAAAAGTGCAATCTCAAAATCTAATTACAAAAATAAACTGTAAAAAGTATATTTGTTTTAGTATACATTCTCAGGGGTCACTTACAATGTCTGACTTAGCTAAAAGTCAGATAAACGATGGTGCAGAAAAAGCATACAATGAATCCTTAACACTGCTCATTTACCAACCTATCTCTTTTGCCTGTGCTACTTTTTAACCTGTTTCATAATTCAACAGGCTGAACAAATACATTACCAAGTTACATTTCCAGAACTCATTTAATATCAGGTTCCCTGAATCTCTTCTTACCTAGGCACCATGGTCCTAGGCAAGGCTTTACAGCATTGATCATTTTGCTATCATTTCATCAAGCGGAACAGGCATTCCCCTTGACAACTTTCCCTGGCAATGTTCTGTTTTCTCTGCCTTAATGGGTTGCATTGCATTTCTACAGCTGTACATTCCCCTTTGCTGCCTTGCTTGAAACTTCTCTCAGAGATCCTTTCTCATTATCGTACAGAAACAAAATTCTTGGATTATTTTGTCTCCTTGTTTATGTAGTGCCCCTCAGCCGAGAGAGCTACATGATTCTCCATCCTCTAGGAACTATTCTCCATCCTCTAGGAACTACTATAATTAATAGATTATTCTTAATCTCAACACAGTATTTCAATTTCCATTTCAATTAAGTTAAAAAACATGACTAGGCTTGATGCCTGCAAGTCATTTCTCTTGTAAACATTCTGACAGAAGTTGACTGAAGTAAAAACACTACCTAAGGTTAAATTGCTGTCATAGGGAATTATAGTATCCACACATACACATACAAACACACATAAACGTATATGTACATATGTATATATTGCAACCTAATCTTCACTCTCTTTTCACTACTCAGCTAATTCAACATCTTCCTGTCTGTGTGCTTAGAAGACCTAGCTGCTTATAACTATGGTCCTCCTCCTCCCTGACTAACCAGGAGGAACCACCTTGTCAAGGAAATTAGTACGCTTGCTACGTTTTGAAAAGTACTTTTTTAGCCGAACAATTGTTCCAAACCCACATTTTTAATCTCTATGTCAAATATACCCAACTAATACACACAAAATAATGCTTAATTTTCTATTCCATCACATTCTGTGCACGTCTGCTCTTCACAGAATGTCATAAAATCTGCTCAGTGCTGTATGTCCACTCTGACTCTGGCAGAAAAGCATGACACTTGGGCTTCTGCTGCTCCTGCAGGTTGTTTAATTTATGCTTTCTCTTTGTGGACTTGCAATTGTGGAACTGTTGAAGTCAAATTATTTCTCCCAAGTCTTTCCAGAAAGCCCATAAATTCTATTAGGCCATTGAGAACAAAAGTCTCAGACAGAAATTCATAGCCTCCCTAAAGCAATTTGGAACTGGACTGAATTACCTGCAGTAATAATCCATGTATTTGTAAGTCTCAAACATCAGTTTCAGACCATGGTAAGGAGTAATCAATAAAAATAGATAAATAATAAAGAAATATTCCTTCTCGATCAGTCACTTTTAAATCTAAAACCACAGAACTCAATTTAACATTGACAGTTCCACTTGGATTATGTTAATTTTTTGAGTGTTCAGCAGCCTTGCACTGCCTGTCTTTAATCATCCACCTTTAACTCAACTGTAATTCCTGACTTCCTGAATCCACGCTTCCTTATATGTGACTTTCCAGAGTGATGGTAATTAACGTTTGCCCTTGATTACACCAATCATGTAATCATAGGAGAAATTTGCAGCATTCCATCTTTCAGGAAAGTGTTGGCCACTCAGGAAATTGTTCACAGTTTTCCCAAGACTTCAGATTATTTTTTATTTTTTTAAAACAGAACATGTATCATTTTTTCCTTCAAATCTGTCCTCCTTCTCACTCCCTATCTTGCTGCTTTTATAAAAAACTTCATTCTTAACTTTGATTTGTATCTGAAAGCCTCCACGAGGCTACGGAGATTTTAAAGTACTTAAAACTTACTATCAACCTCTAAACAAAGAGGGCATTATTTTTATGTTTGTTGATTAAGCATTCCTGTATCATGTAATTCCCCACACCTCATTCTGATAAAAGCAAAACCATCTATTTAACCTCATCCGCACAGATTTAGCTGAAGATACAGCTTACGTTCACATCTTTATGTGTATGACGTATTTTCCTTTTTTGTCTATTTAATTTTGCCTAATTTTTTTGCCTATTTATTTTGCCTATTTAATTTTTTATTATTTGATGAGGGATTTAATTTATTTTCAAAAAAGCAAACCTGTATTTTGTTCCTTTAGTACACCGAAAATGAAGTGACTGATTATGTTTCAATATGTTGTTGGGATAGGTTGGTCCTTATACATACTGCTTTTGTAAATCTGCTTAGGCAACTAACTGAAGATGATCTTCAATCTACGGATAACTATTTCCAAATCACTGTGTTTTGTTTGTTTCTGCAGCTATCTGCACAAGAACAAATACCTGGAAGTTATCAATGACAATGCATTTCTGGGAGTGCACAGTGGACCAACTCTACTGTGAGTAGGAGAAAATCTAGTAGAGATAGCTCTAAAAATACTACTATTTTACATTGCACTTTCTTTCCAACCACTACTAACAGCAGAACACCAGAGATGGGAATGCCATGTTTACAAAAAGAGTACCAGCAACAAATGCTGTGTGTGCTTTAGGAAACTGATTTAAGAAATGCTTGCATCTTACATTGGAAATACTGTTCCTACCAAATTTTCTTTGGAAAGATTCTGTACTACAATCTGTCTTATGACTGTACAATTGCAGTACAATTGTAACATGAACTAAGGACTCTAGTAGCACACATATACAGGAAATTGAAACAGAGATAAAAATTAATTTCAGACAGAATAAAGTTACCTCTAGTGCTGTCTTTTCTTCTTTCTCATGCAATTTGGCTTTCAGTCTGATTTTATAGTCCTCCAAAGAACTCTTCACTATAATTAGGAATCACAATACAGAATTAAATGAAAAACTTTAAGAAGAATCATATTCCCTGACTCATCATCTAGCATGTAACATAGTGCATAGGACTGAGAGGGAGAACTGAAGTGGGGAAACTGAGTTCCTGCTCCATTGCCAAAATCAGGTGATGCTGGCAGTGCTCGCTCCATGTAAGAATCGCTTTTACTTTCTGCTCTTGAGGAAAACAACATATTTTTATCAGAATAAGAGTGTATTGGTCACAGAAGGAATCACAGGGTCCGCATAGGGTTCATGACTAATATACCTGTTTTTCTTCTTATCACTGAATCACCTGAGGTTTAAACCTGAGTTGTGCCTTGAATGGCCAGATCCGAGACAGCAGTGAGAAGTTAGTGTTTTTTGACCACGACTTAAAAGTTACACAATCTGGATAAGAAAAGTACAGTCAAGGCGCTGGTCCACCATCAGGAGAACTGGCCGTATAGGCAGAGCAAAAGAGAGTGTTCTGGAAGCAGAAGTAAAAAGATCAGGAGGGAAACCTGAAAAAACTCACAAAAGGGCTGTTAAACCTCCTGCTCAGGGAGCCTTTGAGGTTGCTGTTGATCCTCTTCCTCCCTGCTAGCTGGCTCATTTTCATTTCCATTACTTCTGCCTTCAGGAGGGCTCAGGCCACCTACCACTGAAGTAAAAGAGTCATTGCTGGAGAATTGCAACAGAGGCTGTGTTGGTGCTGAGTAAGCCTTTTTCGTTAGTATTTGGCTAATAAGTCATTTTTCTTAACTCTGCACATGGCACCAGAGAAACCCTCTCTCATTTTGTTCCTGATCAGAAAGGCATTTTTCAGTTGACATGACTTTACCTGGACACCATATTTCCATCATGATACTACTGTGTCACAGTAAATACGCAGTCTTGAAGCAAGATGCACTGTTTCATCTGGGGTCTCTGTCCTGCCTTCAGCTGTAACAGTCTCAAATGGCTTACTGCACATCTTCCCTCTAAGGCTACTGGTGGTACAATGGGTTGAAAAGCTCTTTGCTAGGGATGGCACAAAACAAAATTCAGGATCTTAAGTCTAAGGGAGGTAAAAGCTTTCAGCATCACAGATTTTGACTCTTGGAGTTATGGTGGGTATTAAAAGCACCAGTTATGTTGTTATGCTGAACAAGTGAACAATTTATGGCATCTTACAAAGGGTTGTGGGGTAATCATATGCTATAATAATGTTGCCACGTAAGCTCATTCTGCAAGGGCTTAGCTTTAAGGTGTGTGAGCTACGTGAAACAGCTTGTTTTAGGGGCCGGAGATGACTTGCTAGGACATGCATATGTAACTGTAAAGAACTTCCTTCTCACTCTGTGCTCTCAAATAAGGTTTCCCAAATGACTAGCAGTTTTTCTAATCTTTCCTAATTATTGTGCTATCCCAGCTGCCACTGATCGTCAATCTCAGGACATGTTCTACATTTGCAGCCTGAACAGCCAGTTACCCATCTCCCAGCAGAATTATATACCTCCATGGCTAACAATATTTATAGTTAGAGAGAGAGATGGTACTATAGTGACATTACAGAGGGAGGTATTGCTTCTCAAAGGCAGAAGGCATAAAACAGCATGTAAATCAACAGTGATTAAAAACTATGTTGTATGAGTTTGGCCACGTTCTTAGGCCACCTAGTTAGATGGTATATTTAAGTAGGTATTTAAAAGTCAGCTGATTGGTTTTTTTTCTAAATTTGCAGTTTACAGTAGCAGAGGAAGAGGGGAGTGTGATCCCTGAATAGAGGAGAACATACACCAGTAATTCTGATTGCTTTGCCACTGCTGTACATTAAGATATACGTGGATGTATACATAGAATGCTCGCTTTAGAAAAACATTTTAACAATATAATGGCAGTACACTGCTCTTCATCTGAAAATGCAATCTTGGCTAGGATTCAGCAACTCAGTGTACATGACTTATAGTAAGTGATCCAACAAGTGCTGCTGCCTTCACTCAACAGGGTACAACAAAAATACAATCATGCTCGTTATTCAATTAGCTTTTGCAAAACATACAGGCCAAATTCAAAACATTGGTAATTGTCACACAAGATACATGTGAGTAACTAATTATATTTAAAAAGCAGTAAGTGCTCTTTAAAGCATCATCTCCCAGTCTAGGAATGGGTCCTACCTTAGGAGGTTCCGTTCTGTTGCTGCCACTGGACACAAAATCTTCAAGCCACAGAAGCACTCTGCATTCTGCTAATCAAACAATGCAAATTTGTAGATTTAAAGAATCCTTTAGCAGACAGAATAGTCTAAACCCAACTACTACATACTTTATGTTTTTTTTAACTACTGTAGCATTGCAGTACTCAGATGCGTGCATGATTAGGTAAAAATTGCCAGCGGTACTGTGATGCATTTAGGCTCATTTTCTCAATTATCTTTTAAATTATCATTATTACTTGATTTCACACTACAATTCCATGTTTCCAGCTGTTAAAAAAAGATTACTGACAAGGTTATTATTCCTTATACCTAGTTCTGAACTTCTGCCTCCAAAGAAGCAATGAAGAATTTGACCAAAAAACAACAACCCACAAGAATAAAAATCCAATTTCAGCAGCCAAACATGTTTAACACTTGTATCATGTATACAGTCGGTTCAGAAAACAACATCTCTTAAATAGTAAGATACATTTTATTCCCACTTCCGTCTGGAGCTCTCCAATGTCTCTGCAACACTAAATCTAGCATGTAAATTTTATATAAGGCAAGCCACAGCCTAGAAACATTACACCAGATTTATAAGAAAGCACGTGAGGAAAAAACAATATAGCTAACAAGCCACAATGTTAAAACTGGTCGAGTGCACTTTGGTTGCTGTTACGCTCCACAGTGTAGAGCTCTACACTACTGCAGGCACACCACTTCCAGCATCTGAGTGAGCTCTAGACCATGGCATCTTAAATGCTAAAGTCTGATCTGAGTCTAGGCTGGAAATGAATTTTGTTAGCACTTTACCATAATCCTGAACATTTGACATCTCCCACAAGTAGCGTGACTGACTGGCTTCAACATCAGCCTTTTTTGTCTAAGGCCTTGTGAAAGTCCAAAGAGACTGAGCAGATCTTACTGACAATACTCAGAAAGGTTTGTAAGGCAGGACTTATTTTTACAGAAGCCCTTTACATGTTGACTTCCCCCAGGTCGATCATATTAGTTAGTGGCTCATATGCTGCCTTCCTGCACAGAGCTAAATTGAAGGTTACACACCTCTTTCACCAAATCAACTACCACTTCCTTGAGATGCTTCAGAACTTCTTGGTGAAAACCATCCAGTCCTCATGACTCATTACTACCCATTTTATCAGTTTCCTGCCTAACCTCTTTTATAGTCTTTTCAATTTGAGACAGATCCTCTTGAGAAGTCTATCAGACCTCTTGCCCATTCTCATGTTGAAGTATGCAAGCTATAGCTTAGCAGTAGTAGCAAGACACTCTTCTGTGCAGTGTAAACATTGCTGTATTTAAATACATTAGTTAACAATATTAATGAGGCTGACACAACTACAGATAGTTCCCATTTTTAGTGAGCAGCCCAAAATCAATGACACGGAACAAAGAAATCACTTAAGACCATGAACCTCCTGTATGAATGAAGACACAGATGCTGTAGTCCAGCAAACTCCAACTAATTGGATTAATGCTGCTCTGAAGATTAGTAATTACTATTTAAAACCTTTTCAGTCCTATGCTTTCTGGTTTGAAGACAGCTGCTATGCTGCTTTAAGTAGATTCTAAATAGATAATCATCAAGATTGGAATTGTGAGGTAGAAAAATACATGTCAGTTCCACACTTCCCTGTGACCAGTTGACACACAGTTTGTCACTAACAAAATGTGTGCCTACGTAGAGTAACTAAGAAGTTATCTTCCACAGTGAAACAAATTACCACCAGACTCTTAAGGGGGCTTTTCCAACTGCAATAGCAGTGGTACAGACAGCATCACAAGACTTCTTGGTGGCAGACACTATACTGGCAGTTTAGGGACTTTCCAAACTGGGGATTTCGGAAACTTCCAAACTTGTGAACCATTGTGCTTAATATGGCCCATGGATGAGATGGGTGGGACTAATCACCTAGTGTTAGCCCCGCAACATGATTAATCCTAAATCAACTAGAACTTCAAGGCATATGTACCTCAATCTTCCCCCAAACCCCTCTACTTTAAAATAAGTAATTTTTTTTAAAACCTAAACAGTACCCAACTGCTAAAATACACACCCGTATATACATAAATAAAAGACTTCAAAGGATTCCATAAGATAAAATTGATGTAGTCTTATAACTAATTCTTCCAAGCCCTTTCTTCTCACTAAACATACCTTTCTTTCAGAATTTGCAACATCACTTGGTAACACTCTTTGAGTTGCCACAGACTTCACATGTTCCCCTCTGCTCCCAGGGAGTTGTTTCTGCTATCTGGGCCCCAGGCTGGCTGCCCTCTTCTTCTTGCTGAAGCACCATCCCCTCCAGGGCCTGGAGAGGCTCTTCTCTGCAGCTGTTTCCAAGGCACAAGCCCTTGTGCCCCAGGATGTTCCTCCTGACCCAGTCATTTCTGATGGGAATGTGACTCAACTGTGAATAAAACAAAAAGAGATATTGTTCATCTTGTTACCTTGTTGTTTGGCCTGCACAATGAACCGTGGCACTGACTTTCACAATTTAATGATGCAATGTTGTGAAAAGATTATCCCTTTTCTCATTTTTAAGCCTCTTGCCTCACATTCTCAGGCTCCGAAACTCATCTCACAATAAATAATTCCAATCACCTTCTTTACAATATGCATGGCATATATAGTCTACTACTGCTTTAGTCCTAGCTTTTCCCAAGAGAAAGTTCCTTATTGCTTCATATATAAACAACTTGATACTTTCAATCATCCTTGCTGTAGCTTTCTGCATAGAATATTTATAGAACTGCATAAAGTATTAAAGATGCAGTCAGATTTACAAAGTGAAGTTCTGTTCTATGTCTTTCCCAAAAATTCTTAGCATTCTATATTTCTCTTCAACATTATTAAATAGCACTGAACTGACATTTGCAGAGGACTCCAAGATATTTCCAGAGCACTACATAAACTCCATTGTAATCTATGTACAGTTAAGATTGCTTTTTCCTAAATGCACTTTACATTCATCAGTATTGAATCATGTCAGTTAATGCTTTGTCACTTAGTATTGCAGGACCCTCCTGTTTCTTTAGACAATCAGCTTTAGCTTTCACTACCTTTTATTACTTTGTGACAGAAACAAGCTTTGTTGCAGCTACTCTCATTCTTTTTCCAGACTGTTTATGAATATTTCAGTAGTACCAACACTAGGCTAGCCTCTGCAGGCCTCTACTGCAATGATGTGTATATTCCAATACGCTCTAGCATGAAAAGTTCTTGGTCCGTAGTCTTTTCCCCCACTCTGTTCTTGTCTTAATTGATAAAAGAGAGCTATTCCCTTGTCAGGTAACAGATTAGTTATCTCACCAGCCCTCAATGTCCGATTTTGTCAAGACTTCTCAGAAATCCTAACCCATTTTACAAAACAGGATCATCTTTCTCCATACACTTGTGCCAGAACATCTTCACAGAACTCTTAGTCTGTGAAGTATTATTTCCCTTCCAAAAAAATCTTTGCACCTCTTATGACACAGCATTTAACCATGTTCCCTTCCTGCAGGTAGCTGCCACCACCATGAGGACTTGATGGAGACCCATGGGGGTTGCCGAAAGGCCAGCCTTATCTTGGTAAGATCTAGTCCAAGATCTAGTTTACCAAGATGTTTTGCTTCAGAAATAGAGCTCTGTAAAATAAGGAAATCAGTGAAAACCAAAAAGGAGCAGTTGATTAAGACCACTAAGTGGAATAAGGGATTGGAGCATCTGTCATAAGACAGGCTGAGAGTTGGAAACGTTTATTCTGGAGAAGAGTCAACGAAATCTTATCAACATGTATAAACACTTGGCAGGGCAGAGAGGGGAGGATCTGGGAAGAGGGAGCCAGGGTCTCCTCAGTGGTGTCGTGACAGTGCAAGAGGCAACAGGCACAAGCTGAAATGCAGGAATACGTAAGAAAAAACTTCTTTACTGTGGGGGTGGTAGAATGCTGGAACACGTTGCTGGGAGAAGCTGTGGAGCCTCCAGTTCTGGAGATACCGAGATGTCAACAGGAGACAGCTGTCTGACCAACCTGCTCCAGCTGACCATGCTTTCAGCCGGGAGATCAAAACTGATGATCTGGAAGCTCAACTATTCTGTGACAGCATTCAGACTCTTCTAAAAGCCAATTCAGGGGCTGGGTAGAAACACATATTACCTATCAGAAATGACTCCAGAAGAACAAAAAAGAAGTTTATATGGTTGAAATCAACTAGTTGTGACATATTCAAATATGTATGATACAAAGAAGCTATTAGGGATTAAAAAAAAAAAAAAAAGCCCTCCTACAGAAAGGGGAAGCAATTTCTAACTCTATTTAAAAACAAACACAAGCAAATTAAAAGAAAAAAGCAGAGTAAATCTAAACCTTTTAGAAGCAATTTGTTTAAAGCATAAAATTATTAACAATTTTATTTTAGCTGCAAGAAACCAGCCAGTGAGTGAGACTTCCAGAGGGATACGAACAGCACTCGTGGGAAACAACACAGAAAAAAAGCTGAATTGTTTATTACTAGGATGTTCATGATGACACTGGCTTTCAAACAGTGTTCCTGCACTAGAACCTTTTATACAGGCTCATTTCTTTACAGAGTACAACTCTGGAAAAAAAACATCTTCTAGTGTCAGTAGAAGAGGCTTTAGGTTAAAGCAAAAAAGTGAGTGAAAAACAGTAGCAGGACCAGATGACATTCAACTGGCAGATCTAAAGGAAGCCACCTCCCCCATGAACCGTGCAACGTACCTGCTGAGGTAGACTCAGTACCAGAAGAATAGAAAGCATCAACGTAATACTAAATTTTCTGAGTGTTTCAGAATGGATTGAGATAAAAGAGTTAATTTTGGTTTATGAAGAACTATTGCTTTAGTAATTACAATACTTTCTATTGAAGTATCCCAATAGGTTAAAATGAGTCTAAAGAGGTCTAAAGGAAAATCGCTGTTCCAATGGAAGATGTGATTTTTTTTAAAGAATTGTTTATCTTGTTCACTTTAAAGGTGCAATTTTAAAAGTTCTGCTATTTCTGTATCATCCATATTCTCCAGTATGAAGCATTACATACGAGAGCTTTAAAACACACACACACACACACACACACACACACACACACACACAAATCACAGGAGGAATTCATATCCTCCCTGAATTTGAGTGGTATCAGAACTTAACAAAGTGATATGAAATCCCTGCCTCCTATGGATTTGATTTTTCCTGCAGAATTCTGTGAAACTCTTCAATTACTGTGAGAATCTGAAGAAAAACAAAAACCTGATCCAGTTGCTGGATATTCTGACACACTTGTCTTCTTCTTCCTTTACCTAGGGATGTCTCCAGAACAGCCATTGCTAACCTTCCATCCAAAGGACTGGAAAGCCTCAAAGAACTAATAGCCAAAAATACATGGGCTTTAAAGAAATTACCACCAGTAAAGCTATTTCTTCAGCTAATGCGAGCTGAACTATCATATCCAAGTCACTGCTGTGCTTTCAAGAGCTGGAAAAAAAGCAGTGGGTGAGTTTTACTACCTTATATACCATTTTAAAGTATGCAAATAAAGACAGTGTTTAGCATTAACATAAAATTATATCTATTGGTACTTTCGTGACTTTTTTTTTTAGGTATAGAGGACATTCTTTGAAACAGAAATTACAATTTCAAACTGACAGAAGAAAGACTTTCCGATATTACAACTTGTAGGACCTTTTTCAAAAGCTTCTCCTTTTGTTGAGCCCAGAATTAAAACAAAAAAAAACCAAAAAAAAAAAAAAAAAAAAGAGAGAAGGATAATGTGCTGTAACACAGAATGGGCTATAGCAAGGCCTGGAAAATGAAGTTTTGGAGGGATTATAACCTCATGTCTCATTAAAGCTCTGAACAGATGATTCTGGATTAACCCTGTAGACAAATATTTCAAATGCCATTTCAGCAGGATTTCCAGCCTCTTCTCAGAACTGGTGTGGATAGCTTTTGTGAGGCAAAAAGTACATTTACAGATGTCCTGGTGCAATACAGCGACTTGCGCTGTCACCGGGGGAGGAGGGAGAAAGGGAGGACGACTTACTTTGATAAGAAGCAGACTTCTACTGCAGAATGCAAATGCATTGTAAATTTCTCCAAATTTTAATAAGGTTTAGAGAATTCTTATCCAGCCTCTGATTTAGGAATACAGCCTCAGTCTTCAGTACTGCAGTATTTGTGGATGGAATGCATAGTATATTAAAAATAGGCTATCATAAGTACATGAATTATTCAATAATAAACTCGCAAGGCAGTAATATTCACGATTACAACAAACTGAGAAAGTGAGGACAGAAATAAAACAGAGGAGTGAAGAAATTTAAAACTTGGATAGAAAGAAAGTACAGAAAGAACCCAGCACAATCTAATGACTGAAAGAAAAAAGTATCTGCATTTCTATTAGTAGAAATAAAAATTTCTCAGACTGAACTGTATGCAATCTCAAATTGTAAGCAATCTACACATCTGGAAATGAGACATACTAAAGGTTATGTGACAGTGGGTCACAGTGATCAAAATATCTGATACCAAACCACAATTTTTTTCCTAGTAAAAAGTATGGATAATTTTTTTACTACAAATACAGGTGCATCACACCATGAGGTATGGGATTTCCAACCACTACACTGATAGTTAGCTCAAAAGCACCCACAGAAAAGACACAAACCAGAAATTATAATGACGGAAGTTCTGTGAGAAATCGACTTGTGAGCAAAAATGAAAAGGAAAGTAATACTGTATTAGTTAAGAAGTTATAAAGAATAGATAAAAGTGTTGTTATGTACTGAGAATGTAGATCCCCAAAAGGAAGAGGGATTATGGATGCTGAACAAGCCAAATTACTACTGGGTATAGCTGACAGCAACAGAGAAAGGAAAAAACACAGCTTAAAAAAGGGCCCAGAAATGCTCAGGCTTATCATTTACTATATATTCTATTAACAGAAACACACCTGATCACAGTTTTATAGCTACATTTCCATTCATGGTTATTTGCCTTTGAAGTGTCCCCCTCTGTTTACTCGCTGCACTCCAGTCAGACTGTAAATGCCAGCAGTGATTTCCTCCTCTGCTCTTTCAGAATTTTGGAGTACCTGACATGTAACCAGAGCAGCAGCTTTCGTAAGAGACGATCAGTCAAAGCTCTCGGAGGTTCGTTTTACAAAGATTATGCAGAAGAATACACAGACCACACTGATACAGTTTATGACAAAAACACCAAGTTCACAAATTTGCCAGAAAATTCCCATTATTACATTTTTTTGGAAGAGCATGGAGAAGCAAATCTTGGGTTTGGCCAAGAGCTCAAGAACCCTCAAACAGAAGATGTCCAGACCTTTGACAGTCATTATGACTATGCTGTCTGTGGAGGCAATGAAGATGTAATATGCACTCCAGAACCTGATGAGTTTAATCCCTGTGAGGATATAATGGGATATCAATTTCTGAGGATCGTGGTGTGGTTTGTGAACCTGCTGGCCATCCTAGGTAACATTTTTGTCCTTTGCATCCTTCTCACCAGCCATTATAAACTGACTGTACCACGCTTTCTGATGTGTAATTTGGCCTTCGCTGATTTTTGCATGGGTTTATATCTCCTCCTGATTGCTTCAGTGGATCTCTACACCAGGTCAGAATACTATAATCATGCTATAGAGTGGCAGACTGGGCCTGGTTGCAACACAGCTGGCTTTTTCACAGTATTTGCTAGTGAACTGTCTGTATACACTCTGACTGTGATCACCCTGGAGCGCTGGTATGCCATCACTTTTGCCATGCGCCCAGACCGAAAGATTCGCCTTCGGCATGCCTTGGTTATCATGCTGGGAGGGTGGCTCTCATGCTTTCTTCTTGCCCTTTTGCCACTGGTTGGCATCAGCAGTTACAGCAAAGTCAGCATCTGCTTGCCTATGGACACTGAAACGACAGTGGCTGAAGCCTACATCGTCTTCGTTTTAATATGTAACATTATTGCTTTTGTCATCATTTGTGCCTGCTACATAAAAATCTATGTAACTGTGCGAAACCCCCAGTACAAGTCAGGAGACAAAGATACCAAAATTGCTAAGCGTATGGCTGTGTTGATTTTCACTGACTTCTTATGCATGGCTCCCATCTCTTTCCATGCTTTATCTGCCATTATGAACAAACCATTGATAACTGTCACCAATTCCAAGATTTTGCTGGTACTCTTCTACCCACTCAATTCCTGTGCCAACCCCTTTCTTTATGCTATTTTCACCAAAGCTTTCCGAAGAGATGTGTTTATCCTGCTAAGCAAGTTTGGCATCTGCGAGCATCAGGCTCAAGTCTACCGAGGTCAGACAATTTCAGCCAAACACAGTAGTGGCTCTTATGGGCAAAGAATCAGCCGAGGGATAGGTCATATTCTTACAAGCATTCAAGACCCAGTCAGTGATTACCTTCCTGCCATGACAATGCAGAACCAAATTCTTGTAGAAGAATGCAAACAAACTGAGCTATGACATCTCACAGTATAAAAGCCACAATCTGGTCCAGAGGTGGTTGTGTGTACAGTGAACTGAGTGAGAAGATAATGTATTCTCCATATCCTTTTTCCCTAGCCTATCCTTTGTGATATCTGAAAGTACCTTCAGAGTGGTCTTCTTTCAGACAAGTCACTCAGCTGAACCTCCTGTCTCACAATTTTATCAGTACAGGTCAAAAGGTACTGTTCTGATGATAGCATGGGAAGTAAATGGGAATGCTCTATCTAAATAGGAAAATTAATATATATAAACTCAGCAAATACAAAACATACCCTCATTTAAAAAAAATAGGGAAGGAGGAGACCAAGCACAAAACTTGGGGGTACTTATATGACTAAAAAAAGGACATAAAGTTTAATAATTAAAATGAGATTAGAAGACTAGAATAAAAAATAAAGGTTGAAGTTCTCAAATGCCTCAATTGCCTGTGAGTCAAAATGATCAACTGGTTTTCTAACAGCAAATTTCTAAAACTTCCACCAGGGCTTAAAATGGAACAGATGCTTCTGCCATCCTGACCTAAACAAAGCTTGCAGTTCTTGGTGTAGGGGGTGAGGCAGGAACCTTCTTCATACTGCCTTTATGGTGGCAAAAGGCAAATGTAACTGATTTTTAATCTGATCATTAACAGCTAAGAACCATTAGGGCATTTGTGTTTGTGTGCTTAATATCACTATCTCACTTTCTGATACATCTGTTTAGGAGATGGTTTAGTTTAAATCTGTTTTCAAGACCAGTCTACCCAGTCAAGTTTGATAGCTGATACTTAAGACTGTACTAAATCTTCTCCCACTTATCCATTCTTTACCTGTGTGCAGTGCTGTTTAATCTGAGCATAGAATCACAGAATAGTTAGGGTTGGAAAGGACCTTAAGATCATTTAGTTCCAACCCCTCTGCCATGGACAGGGACGCATCACACTAAACCATCTCACCCAAGGCTTCGTCCAGTCTGGTCTTGAACACTGCCAGGGGTGGAGCATTCACAACTTCCATGGGCAACCAATTCCAGTGCCTCACCACCCTAACAGAAAAGAATTTCCTCCTTATATCCAATCTCCAGCATGTTTTTATTACTTTCAACACTCTGTAATTACTGTTTTTCTCACTACTAAGGCTATCCCTGTTTACCCCCCTCTTATAGGGCTAGACTGACTTTCTTTCTAGCACTTGCTATGTTGAGATGCCTCAAATCTACACTTAGAGAAAAGAAGTGGATTGCGCCTTCCGATTACTTTATGCCCCTCAGTTTCTGAATTGAAGGCTAGCACCTCTAACATGTTTTAAGAGCATCTCTTCATCTTGTAGTGATAGCTGTTATCCGACTTCTGGAATGTCTGCAGTACCACTACATAAACCACACCGTTAACTTCTGGTTGCCTGTCCGTAGCTTTTAGGTACATACTACTCAGGGTAGGAGCGGCTCTGCACCAGCATGCTCATTAACACCTGTGTGGCCCAAGTGCCTGGTTTTGACAGCAGGATCAAACCTGTTCTTAGTCAACTGTAGGGACCAGCTCTGTAGGACTGCTCTTAAGTCTGTCATTGGTCATTTCACTCATCTATTTGCAAGGCTTATTGTGAGAATGGAGAATACTGGGTAAATCTTTACCTTCAGGTAGGTATTTTAAGCTCATTTTGTAATATCTACACTGGTTTTAATGGAATTACAGTCTTTGAGTTAACTGTAATTAAACTGAGCATACAATAGTCTCATCTTTTATAATGGGTTAGTAGTATCGAGAAAAACGTAACGGTAGAGCCCTTTAAACTGCTAGCTACTACAGCTGGAAACTGCATGACTGCAGGTGCCATGTATATTCTCCCCAGTTAAAACTTGATTTTATTTCATATTCCTGATTACAAACAAATGCTGCTTCAGTAAGCTGAAACTCAGATCACGGAAGGGCCCATATTCACCAACTCTGTGAGATGGTCTTATAAAAAAAAAAAAAAAGATTCTGTCTTTAACACCATTAAAAACCTACAGTATTTCATTATAGATTAAATCAAGCTGCTTATTTTGGTGAAAGGCATGCTTCCATTTTTTTGTTGATTCTCAGCACACTTTGAAACCAGAATTGCTGGAGACCATGCAAATAATAATTTATGACCTTCTCTTCTGTGATCTGTACTCACCCAGTGTTAACCAGAAACATAAGGGTAACTTAAGCGTGTGCATCAGCAAATTTCCTGCTCTTGAAACAGCTGCATTTGGAACACTTTGGTTTTGCCCAAAAGTCCCATACAAAATATGTTATGTTTAGATGTAACCCCTGCCCCCAGAATCTTTCACCCTCCTGATACTGGAATAATCATTAAAGGAAAAAAAAGCTTCCTGAGTATCTTAATTTAGTATCCCAGCAGCAGCTAAGACATTCAAGTTCTAATGGACACTTATGCTACAGACTTCATATGTACCACTTGTACCAGTGGAAAAGAAAAATCTAAACTGAAATCGTATTTTTCAGAAAGAGAGGAAAGACTACATTTATTTTAAAAGTGCTTTTAAAAATAACATGGCTCACTTATTTCAAACCTCTTTTTACCTTAAAACAAACCATAATATTTGTTCCATTTAGAAACTAGTAGGATATTGGAAAGATGTGGTATGCTGGATTGACTGCAGTATGCTTTTGAATTAATACAGCTGTTTGCTGTTATTAATAGACGAAGGATATATTTGCACATGAATGAATTTATCTTCTATTATTGCATGTATTTTATCTATTAAAAGAGTTCTCTGACACTGCTTTTATGAACAAAGTTTGTTATTTCTGGTTTATGTCTTGCATATTCTTTCTTGTGGTTTCCTTGGTAAAAATAGTTTAAAAGGATTAGAAAGATCCAGGCAATAGACTCAAAATAATTTATTCACCAGACTTTTTCTTGTAAATGTTTGTATTCTATAGATACTCCGTTCTATTTCTGCTCTGATCAATCCCTTCAGCCATTTTTGGTTTTGTGTACACCCTTATGTAACACTTGCTATTTTAAACCTGTCTCAGCAAGATGTATTACAGCAGGCATTCAATACATATTTTCTCTAGAATACTTTAGAAATAATGGAGAACATTGGAATAAAATGTTTTGTTTGAAATTTTAAGAGGTCCTGAAAGTTTTTCTTCCTGAAGGTTTTAAAATAGTTTTTCTATTTCTCTTGCACTCATCTTCATTGTTCCCCTTGGCAGGCCTACAGCCAAAAAGGTTGACCAATGACACACCATTTGACAGAAGTTTGGGGTTTTTTTCCATGCCAGTAGTTGGGAAAGGGATGTCCTAAATGGCCATCTCAGACAGTGCAGCAGGGATGGAAAGGAACTACTTGTAGTATTGCTGAGCTCTGGGCTTCCAAAATCATCATTAATCACATTCCAAGATAACCAGAAGAATCACCTAACAACCGTGATGTCCTCTTCAAAAGACTGAGTCTGGAATCGGATTATCTTTAACATTCTTCCTAAATCTGTATGTGACAGCCACTGCAACTAAGGATTAGGTACTTTATGAGAAACACATAGTATGAAGTTTGTGTGGTAGAGACGCTACTGCAGGAATTCTCAGAATAATCTGCCCATATGCGACATTACGGAACATCCCTCCCTTACAGCAAATGTCCCTTGACACACATTTGCCAAAATTTATGCTGGCAAATTTTACATTCAGTAATTCTCATCCATGTGTTTGTGATTATCTGTTATTGAGATCCTTGCAATACCTGGAAAAAAAGAACACTTGAGAGAGAACTCCCACAACTGAAAACCGTTGAAGTGCTCAAATGAGTTATCTCTTGACATACCCTCTCAGTGCCGAAAAACTCATCTGACTTCAGTATCTGTGTACCTTGCTGCTGCCTATAATTGTGCTTCCCTCCTACAGGAAGCTTTAGGTTACAACAAAAGGTTTTTCTCAGCTCTAGATGCCAAATGGCATCAGCTAGAACAATTAAGCTTACAAGCAACAAGAAAATCGAATGGGCTGACAAGTGGCAAGGAATAAACAATTCTTTCTAGGAGAGCTATGCTGTTCAGTATGTGCATAAGAAGCCTCTAAAAAGGACTGAACAGCAAAAGAACAAAGTCTGCCATAATACTGAGATAACTCAGAGCAACAAGAAAAAAAGGCTGCTATAAAGAACTGTAGGAAGACTTCCTAAGATGCCAGGCAACTCATTCTAAAACCACTCAGTAATCAAATGGTTTCTGGTTTGCAATTAAAGTTGGACAGGGTGAGGCACAAAATTAATTGGATATAGTGCTCCTGCTTGTCAGAGATTCTGAAAACGTATGGTATCATACTGCACTTTGATGAGGCATTGTGGGCTAAGGCAACAAGGTATTGAAGGGCCATCGTCACACCCTGGAACAGGTGGTCAAGAGGTCTCAGTGATGCACACTGAGAGATTCTGACAGCATCATCAACCTAGAACTCACACTGATTCAATAACACACCTGCATAATGCTGAATTATTTTTGATCTGTTTAGTCACTTCCACCTGACCCAACTTATTTTTGTGTGACTAGAAATCACGATTTGAAAGTGAACAAGTGGAGGTACTTTAAGGTCACAATATGCAGAGTATTTCATCAGCAGAACCCATCAGTTCTAGCTTTTTATTCTTATCCCATGCCTGCCTACCTCCCCAACCCAAACTGCCACAGTACCTCAAATTACGAAGTTCTCAGACTAGACAAGATACTAATCCTGTGGAAATCTCTAATTTTTTTTAACTGCCTGTCCTTATTTTCCACCCTGAAAATACTGGGTAACTATTCAAAACCATGGGAAACTGTCATCAACTGCAACGCAGGACTTGGATCTCACTGGGGCTATCCTGAACTTACTCCTTCCAAGAGCTTAACTTCTGCAGGATTAATATGAATCAACTTGAATCTTACTCTTCTTTCTGAGCAGGAGCTTTCTGTGCTCTCCGGACTATATGCAATGCTGTCTTTTATGTGTGGTCATCTGAAGTCATATCCTTAATGTTGCACATCTGTGCCATTCAGCTGAAGCTCATGAAGCTTTGTTAATTTAGGAGAAGAGGAGCACACTTATTTTGGTTCTCATCTATTCACTATCCAGCTGTGTTACGGAGTCTCCTCCAGGTTCTCTGTTTTTCTTGTCTCTTTTAAGGAACTAAATCTGTTGTATCAACTTCATTCACCTCACATTATCTAACAGTGCACTGAACAGTCATTACAAAGTGACTGGAATTGCTGGATTGTTACTTGTGTATATACTGTGGTACTTTTTATCAGACCTACTATGCTGACAAGAGCCTCCCTGCTGCAAACACTGATAACTGGCTAGACTGCCAAACCCACGCTAGCCTCCTTACAGCTGAAGTTTCAGCTGAAATAATAGCTGATTTTCTTTCCTAAGTGACAGCATTCCCTCTTTTTTGTGAAGGCAAAGCTGCAACACATCAAATCAAAGCAGTTATATGTGTTCTAACAAGAAACTTCTCACTGCAAATTCTTAGGCATTGTCTGAATGCCTGTCTTCTCCACTGCTCGCTGTTGACTGGCATATGCATGACAGCATTGAAGTATCAAGCAGCATGAACAAACAGGCATTTGTGTTTGTGCTGCATGTAAAATGCTGGTTTAAATTTTACTATAGTTAAAGAATTACATAAGGTGTATGTGGATTACTGCTGCTGCCTAGAGGGAGCCATGGAAAAAACACATCAATTATTTTTCAGCCAGCTCTAGATTCCCAATTAAATCCTGCAATGATGTGCCAGTATAAAGCATAAGGAAGTGTATTTTGATAACCGGCAATTAGGAGGTGCCAGATGCACCTTCCCATGAAAAGTCCAGGAAAAAGGTGTTTGGGTTTTTTTATTCTTATTCCTTATATATACTGCTGAAATTTGAGTTAGTTTGCTTTTTTTTTTTCTTTTTTAAAGGCTGACTACCTACTTTTCTCTTTGTCCTCTGTGCGCTCCATTTCTTCTTTCCAGATTCTCTTTATGTCTCCTTTCTCTATTATGGAAGAAACCCAATGCTCTATTTGATGAAGGACTTTAGATTTTTCCACCTACAATCTTGTTATTTAGGCTACATGGCAACATATGCACGGCAGCCTCAGGAAGAAATTACAAAGCTGTTTAAGAATATGACAGTGATTTAGGACAGAAAATGAAAGCCAAAAGATATTCTGAATAAAGATTAACAACAACTTCTACTAAAATGAAGAAATGCTCCACTTCCCCTCTGCTCCCCTCTCAAAACCAACTTGACACACGCAGAAGCATCTGTGATGGGAATACATTTCTTCTTTAGCTAACCAATTCTTAACATCAGTATCAACATCACACTTAACAAGCTGTTCGTCAACTGTCTACACATACACAGGAATTTACTTGATGTTGCTTTAATGTTTTAAGATTAAAACTATTTATTAAATTAGAAAGAAATTCAATTCATAAAACCCTCAGAAATACTGCTCCCAGCACTAATGCTTTCTCTTTAAAAATCTTGAACAAGGTAAGCTCACAAGGAAAGAGCTTCCTTCCTGCCAAAATTTGAGTTTTCAGGGGGAATGGAGGGGGAGGCAACCAAAGACAGAACAAAACCTAGAAGCAGTGCTTCCACAGGACAAATTCTGTGATACATCCTTTTTAGAAATGCTGTAATCCCCAGAACACTGTTTCCCAGAATACATTACCTGTTCAATCCAGATGGCCTACCTGAAGTCAGCCAGCTGTTCCTCTAAGGGAAAGGCCTGTACAAGAACCTCAGACACAGGTATGGCAGGAAACACAAGGAACCCTGTCTGCCGGGTCTTGCATCAGAATCCTACGACAAATAGGAATAAACCTTTGTAAAATCAGGAAGCCAGGTGGTTCACCAGAAAAGACTGCCTTCCTTATTTTGCTAGTCCAAACCATTTTCTCCATCACCAGCTAGAAAGGGCTTAACTTTACCTTGGCATTACATCCTCCCAGCTCCAGCACTTGTAAAGCAGCATCCCAATTATCTTGGGATTCAAATGTGTCTTCTGTTCCAGATGTCTAGAGGGCTTGTCCACAGTGCAGTTCTGCTTCATTTGGTACCTCTAGCAAAGGAAAAGCATTTCTACCTTGACAGAATCACGTGTCCACACAACACATTTTTTGTGTCACAAGGTACTTCTCTTTTTTATTTTTACAATTTAATGTTAAGTCTTTGTTTTGGAGTTGTTATTGAAATATACTTCTCCAAATTAAACACTTGCTGTTTGCAGTCGGTAACTTTTTGTTTACAAAACTGAACTAAAAATGAAGACAAACTAGAAAGTATAAACCAAATACACCCAGTTACATATTTTTTAAACAGTTATCAATAAAAAACATTTCAAAATACCAGCTCACCACTATTCATCTTCAGAGAGGGATGGGCAACTCAAGATTAATACGTGCTTTTTTTTTGTAAGGCTGTGATAATGTTAAATGGAAGGTCTGCAAGGCAAACTCAGCATGTAGGTGACAGTGATTCAGTTACCTGTGTGTGATTAAAACAAATTCAGAATCTTCAGGGTTATTACACAGTAATCATTAAGCCTCATACATTAAACAAATGCATGTGCAAAATATTAAATGAAGTGACAAACATTTTTAAATAACATCTTTAATTAAAGTTTTTGCAAAGGCAAAATATTAAACTTAAAATAGGTCTTAGTACATCAAAATACTAAGTTCTCTAATTGTATTCCAAGCATGGCCTTTGAAACATAATATCCTGTATATCACAGAGGAGCAACCTTGATCTGCAATTGTACAGAATGAATTTTACAAACATAATAAATATATTTACCCCCTTACACATAACAGTATATGTACAACAGCAGTTGACAATAGTAGCTCAGAACAGCAAAAAAGGATATTCCCCCATTCCGTAATCTATTGGTACCCTATGCACTCTGGAACACGTCTCATTGGATGACTGCACATATAGCTAACCCAAGGTAGCTCTTCCCGTTAAAAAAGCTCCTTTTGTTCCACAATGTCTAACCCACCAACCAATAATTAAAAAGACACACTGCATGAACTGCCTGAAAAAAGGTAGACAACAGGGAAACCAATGGACTGGTTTGTTTTATACATTTCCCAACCAATCACAACAATGGGAAAATAAGACTGTAAATGCCAGACACCAATACATAACAATATGCAAGTTTGCAAGTTTCTTCATTTTGTATAGTCACTAATCTGAGTCTGAAAAGAACTCTTAATTTCCATTGGGGTATATGGGCAGGGTGAGGTGGCACACAGCAAACCCCACAACGCTGCGTAAGGCAGTCCAGTGTCAATCCAGTGTGCATTACCCTAAAACCACTGCTCACTTCCTGGACGTGTTACTGCACTCTATCAGGAAGCTTCTGCTCTGGGGGAAACTGAGGAGAGGCTTTATTATTTTATTTTTTTTTAATCTTTTATAAATTGAAGAGATTCAATCAAAATGAACTTCAGTTAACAAGGTTTTTAACTCTCACTGGAATTAAGAACCTTTACTCTGGTAGTGTTATGTGGTGACGTAATTACTGCTAAGCAGTGGAATTATTTTCACAGACTCAATGAAGTTTAACACTCCAAACTGTGCAGCAGAAATAAACATTTATAAAGAAAAAATCTGTTACATGACACAACATGTTCTTTTCTAGAAACTGTGCTTCAGAATCACGTATCATGTCCTTGGAAATAAACTCGGACCACAATTACAAATCGCGTTTAGGAAACGGAATGATGTTCAAATGCAACTTGTGAGTACAATGCAGGAACAAGAGTATGAAACCTCAAAGAAATCTTGTCGCTAACCAGCAATTGAGGGGGAATAAAAACATTTTATTTAAATAGTCCAACATAAAGTTCCTTATGTGACTAAATTCTCTATTATCTCCTTAACAGAAAACATATTTCAATTTGTTTTCAACTTAGATGTTTTAAAATGATTGCACACACTAAACCCCAACAGAATTAGAGAAAAAAAGTTGCTTTTCTGATTGAATCACTGCAGGAATTTTTACTCTTTCAGGAATCAAAACAAAGTATTGTCATACTGGCAAAACCGGTATTCTGCAAACTGAAAAGGCACAACACTCCCAAGTTTCCATCAGCTGTCATGGTTACAATTATGAAGTTATCTTTCCCATTTTTTTCATCATAAGAAGGTGCTCCATTATCTGTGCAAATTTTAACATAAGCCCTCTTGAAATCATTAACTGTTTCCATAATACTGAACTATTTAAATGGGGGGGGGGGGGGGAAGAAAGAGACACAACCAGAAACAGTATTTCTGGGGGGTTGGGGTGGAAATAATCATTTATGAGCTATGGTATGGGAATCCCTTGCCCTCTGAAAGGAATGGTTTCTTTGGAACCTAATGAAATGGTCTGTTCAGTTACATTGTTAAAACCACAATTAAAAATTCAAGTACAATAATAAAATTAAGCAAACTACATTCTTACAGCAAGCTGCTACAATAAAATGAAATTAAAACATGCTTTTTGATTTAAAAAAAGGAACACTTGATGCAGCAATAAGAGCACAGTTTGGTATGTTCATGTTTTGACTGGCTTTCCGAAAACTTCACAGGTTATCTTTTTTGAAGACAAAACTTCTTCTCTGAAAAGCATACCACACAATTAGCTTGTAGGAGGCTGTGCAAGTTCAGAAAGCTTCTAACATCCTTCAGAACAAGCTAAGCTTAAGTTATCTTTAAAGTTCTGCTATTCCTTAAAAATAAATAAAACGGATATGCAGCTTCTAGTATATGTATTTGAGTGAAAAAAACCATTAAGATGTATGAAAACAAAGTTTTGTACAAGTAATCTGGGTTCCAGTAGTATAAAAAGGGATCTATAGCTAAAGGCATTTTCTTCCTTTTATTGGTTTGGTTGTGCAGCATGACAGGAATTTTTCTGAAGTCTACTACTTAAGACCTACTGGTAACAATATGGAAAAGGTGAGGGAAAGAATTAACTGGTACAGTACTGATTTCACTGCAGCTGTATAGAAGTGTCAATAGTGGTAAAAAAATAAAGTATCTGCTTTGTTTGGAAGAAAGCAAACACCAATCAGTCTGAGACAGCTTGAAGCCCCAAGCCAAAAATGCACTCTAAATGATGATTCCATTACTTAAGAATGAATTGGAAGAAACATTTAACTTTTCATGAAGCTTGCGCACATAGATGGCTTACCGACAACCATGCAGTTCTAGATACAGCCTACAGGCAGTTTTAGTTATCAGAGAGCACAGGTGTACAAAATCACAGAAAAAAAAACCCTCTTTACAATGTATAGAGTTTTCTACGCACTACTGAGACTATGAATGCACTCGGGGGCAAGTAAATCAGAGAGAATAAAAATCAGAGCAGTCATTATACACCATTAAAATACACTGACTCTGTTAAATAATATTTAAAATTTCATTCTCAAGTAAAAAAAAAAAGTCAGAAATTGTGGTTCAAATGTCTGCTTCTGAAAGTCTTTCCAATTTAGTTAAAATTAACTTCACTGTGGTTTTTCTGCTTTTCCTGAACACCCAATGAAACAGGTTTTTTTCCAAATGGTGAGCCACATGAGCATCCTTCCTCCACACTTTCTGAAGTATAATGCCCATTCCCTCTCCTCATTGAAAAGCAACTGCATTTCCAAAAGCAGAGTTTGCAAGAATAACCTATGCATGACAAAAAGGTGATCACAAAAAGAAGAGAAAGGAAATGGGGGGGAGAAGCAACCTTATTGCTTTTCAGGAAGAAAACAAAACCCCACCTCTGGAGAAGGCAAGTGAAAAAGTGACTACACAAAGTTTACTGCATCCAACTGCTTGCTTTTGTTACCAAGACAGTCTAAAGACACTAACAAAATTTGTGTTCTCAAAGCTGTAAAGCTCTCCATGAAATTACATGCCACCTGGAAACTTCAGAGATATTAACCACTGCAGGTAACTTATCGCTACAATTTTAAGTAAAGCAGATCTTTGATTAACAGAGTTGCAGCCAGGATGTTAGGATTTTTATGCAATTTTCTGTATGACAAATTTAGTCATTCTTGTGGTCTGTTGAATTATTTGTGGATGTCTGGACTATGGATGACATTCCTTCAGCAGGTAAAGGAATGCATTATATTATGTCTACATTTGATTCAAAAGGTCTGTAAAGCCTTTAAAAAAAAGATTACAAAATAAAATCAAATCAATTGGCAGTTAATTAGTTGTTTCAATTCAGTGATGCTGAACCACAACCAAACAGCAAGAATATAACTAACAAGCAATCTGACTTGTGTGAGGGGAGTTGCTTTGTATTTAAAAAACACAGCCCTAAATAAAAGGGATCACATGAAATCAAAATAATTTTGAAATATAAATGATCATTCTACCGCTTTGTAACTGCCAGGAACAACCACCTGTTTATGGGGAACTGAAAACAACAAACAGATATAATAATTAATGAGCATATCAGAATTAAAAATATTTTCCTTATACAAGTTATTTAAAATTTAACACCTTAATTCTTACCCTTCTGTACAAAGCTTGCACACAGTTTAAGTAACATTCTGACCATCCTCACTACCAAAAGGAAGTGTTCAAAGCAAAGATTTGTACACACAATAAGCATTTTCAGATTAATAATCTATCAAAGGGAAGAGTTCCTTCAATCAATGGAAGAAGTATTTTAAAATTGTAAATCAAGGGAAGAATGGAGGGAGGGGGGAAGGGGAACAAAGCCTTACATGCTAAATACCAGCTGTAGGTACCTGTATGTAGAATTGATAATTAAGGTATTCCTAACACACAAAACCAGCTCCCAGACAATGCTATAGCTGCTACAGTCCATGGCTTGCTCAGCTGAAGTAGTGTCTTTGTTGCCACATTTTACCTTTGTTCCAATATTTTTGTTTATTGTTTATTTCCGATGTGCAGATACACATTTGATTAGAGTACACATCCAAGTCTCAACCTTTCCTGCCTTTTTTTTTTTCCTTTTACAGGGAGTTTTTTTGTTTTGTCTTTTAAAACTTTACCATTCTGCATCCCCAATGGCTTTGGAAAATACATAATCTCTTCCATTAAGATTCATGATGCCATCTTTGAGATGAAATTTCCATTTGTTTTTACTTCTGTGAATCTAAAAACAGAAAAAAAAAAAAAATCAAACTATTACTCTGTATCAGATATAAGTAGTAACACCTAAGTAAATTGTAAGGGCAAGAAAAAATGAGAATAACTATCAGATATACATTACTAAATTACTACATATTTCAAAAATCAATTCTGCATTTAACTATGAAAACCAAAAGTTATTTTTTATTACAACAGCCACAAAGCTCCACCTGAAAGCCAGAAATGCCTTTTCAGCCACTGTAACAGAGAGACTCTGAAAGGGTGAAACACTAAGTTTTTATTACTTGGACCTCTTGTGCAAACTTTTCTGTATGAAAGCTAGTTTTTCTAGCATTTCTGCTAGAAAGATAGATAGTTGGCCTATTCATCAGGGGGCAGACTAAATAAAATTAAAAAAACATCAAATGGTTTGGGCTGGAAAGGACCTTAAAGCTCATCAAGTTCCAGCCCCCCTGCCACAGGTAGGGATACCTTCCACTAAACCAGGCTGCTCAAAACCCCATTCAACCTGATCTTGAACACTGACAGGGACGGGACATCCACAACTTCTCTCCCACATGCCATCACCACAGCAGGGAAAAACCCCACCCAGAACCCAATTCTGCTCTTCCTCCCCAGGGAGTCCATATTTGTGAAGCCTGTAACATAATGGATCTTCAGGTTATAATGGGTATTCATGTTGACGAATAAAACAGCAGTTTAATTAATACTCCCTTTACAAAAATAATCCGTCTCAAAGCAACTCTCTTTATGCCTATCCCCAAACTAATACTACCCAACTACAGGAAGCAGGTTGACCAGTGTGCTGAAGGATCAGAGAAGACAAAAGAACAAGAAATAGCCGTAGTCTTGAAGACTTCAGTTGTATTATGCCTACTGAGTAAACATCAATGTGCAGGACTGTGGCCATTTTAGATAATATACAGTCAAGTGCTACTTCATGAGGAAGCCAAGTCAGGAACCCACAAAATACAAAATCCCCTTGGTTCAAGACAACATGCAGGGTTTACATTAGAAAATATCACCAAAACTAACAGCAACTATGTATGACAAGCATTTTCCCATGGGCACCAGAACAGGTAAGACCATAGCCCTCAATCAGTTATTAGCAGCATCATTTGGTCTATGCTCACTTTAAAATAAAAAGTCAGTGGAAACTGAAAATGAAGAAGGAAGGGTCTGGCTTACATACTCTACATGCCCTTCCGAATGGAACTGAACAAAAATCCCCTATCAGAAGCATCTGAGATGCCATGAGGTAAGGAGCAAGGTCCTCAGATGAATAAAGATGGGAAAACAAGGTTAAAAAACACTGTTTCTACAGCGAAATGGGATCATTCCAGAAAAAAAATGTGCTGGCTGGAGTCTGCACTGTTTAAGAATTCACTAATCATATGGAAAATGACAAAACATCACTGACTGTACAGAAGGGCAGTTACTGAACAGCTGCAGAATGATGTTACTGCCCTAACTCGTGTCATGAAACAATGGTGGCATTCAAAGTATATGAAGATAGTTAACAATGGATAAAAAAACAACAATTCCAACTTACATGGATAGAAAAAATGATGGGTTTGAAGTCAACAATTACAAGTCCGGAATGAGATCCCCAAGTTCTAAGACTCCTCCATGGGAACATCAGCTCTGAGTTCAGTGGGGTCAAAAGCATACATGAACTATTGCTGAACATTGCTACACCACTTAATAAATGAAAGGTTCACCTGCATTGTGAGTATCTCTGATCCTCCCCCAACCTTATCTACTTGTATCAAGTAAGATACAAAAGAATAAAACAGATCTGGAGAATTAAAGTAAGAACAATCAAATATTTACACAACTGTAAAAACAGCAACCAAGCAAAGCATAGCTCTGATTTCAAGGAGATGACTGAGGAGGGTTATGATGGTCTGCAATACCATAAAAGGCACCAAGAAAGCAAAGAGGGAACAATCTCCTAAATAAACAAGTAGGAGGTATCATATGAAACTAATGGGATGAAAACTAGGTAATTCTCCACACATCATCTATGAAACTTCTTGTCATAAGAGAAAGATTCAAAACAAATCTAATTAATTTCTGACAAATTAAGGAAAAAATCCCCTGCTGGCCATCTGATACAAAGCCACTGTATCACAGAAGGATGGTAAAATGTTCTACGTGAGCATCACAATCTGCCTGTCTCACTGTTCTAGAGGCACCTACCATCAGCTGATGCTGGACACTAATACAAGAGGGAACTCTGCTAAGAATAACTGAGTTAATCGTGTGTATTTTATAGAGACAAACTGAATTATGATCGTTTGATAAGTGATGAGGGTCCTTTCAAAGTATGTGGTGCTAGAGGTTAATGATGGACAGTTCTCTACAGAGTTCACATTCTTAACTTTTTAAGAGGATGAGGATTTCAAAGTAGTTCCTGATGCTCAAGCTTTAACAGCTCCCAACAAGCTTTTCTGACTGCTACTTTTAGGTTCCTCACTATCCTCACAAACTGCCCTAAAACTAACAGTTTTGGATTACAGTCTTGAGAAGACAGATGGCTGAGATGCAAATACTGATACAACTTTTCTCTATCTTAAATTCTCTGTTGAATGTGATGACAAGTCTACGCAGAGTCTGGACATAAGATCTTCTAAGCAAAGCATTCTTCACAACATAGGAGTTTTTATTGAACAAACTCAAGAGATTTTCTTTCTGCTTTAAAAAGAATCCTTATTCGTTACAGTCCAATTATTCTAGCATAGCAAAATAAAGAAAATCCACACTGAATAATCTTTCTGCATACTACTACCTCACTAAAAAGTTGTTTGAGATCCTCTAGACACATTTAAACCAATTCCAGACATGGTGAATTCTTGCATACTCCAGGACAAATATGTGTGAAAAAATTAGTCATTATAAGCAAGCAAGACAGCTCTGCAGGATTTAAAGCAAGATAAGCAAAAGCATTCCACATGGCAAAGAAAGAACCGTCTCCTCTGATAACTATTCACCATCAGGAAGAGATACTTTTAGTGATCAAGGAAGTTTTCCACAAATGTAAATCATAACTGCTTTTTGCATTCCCCATCACAGCAAATGTACAAACTTCTTACAATAGTTCACTTCTCCTTAGCCCAGAGGACTGACCTTTGCTAAAGGTCACAAAAACACATGATGAAAAAAAAAAGAAAATGCATCCAAATCCTTCTAAGCTTTACTCGCTATCAGGGTTATACACACGTGTCACAGAAACAAACAATAGGCAATTCTGACACGACCATTCACATTATAATCTTTACAGATCTATCTGTACTTAGTAGTCACAAAGATATTTCTTAAAAAATATGACTTGATAGTAAGAAGAACAAAGAGTAGAATCTTTGGATTCTCTTCAGTAGAGTTTACCTTATCATACTGGCACACAACAACATTTTCTGTATCGAACAGTTCTTGTCCTTCCTCATCACTCACATCATCTTCACTGTTAAGAGGCTCCTGAAACACATGCAAAATGTTATGCTGATTAGTAAAATCAAAGTACTTTGATTATTTACATAAGACTACAGTGTTGCACATGAACTATAGGACCTAAAATTCATTTGAGGTGGTGAATATCAGGCTTTCCAGCAGAAGGGCGATGTACATACACTTCATTCCTGCGCTCCATCCTAAGATACCCTTACCAATTTTATTTGGTACGTCAGCGTCCAGGCCAGACTCTGGGCACCACAGCTTTTTACCACCACAACCGCTCCTGCTCTTTTCCTGTAAACGTTCAGGTGACTGCAATTTGTCTTTACAAAAAATTTATCATTACACAGATTTTTACATGCAAAATAACTTCTCCAGACCTAGAATTTATTTTCATGTCCCTTAAAAATTACTTTTCCTTTTTTTTCCCCCTCTTTCTCCGAACACTCTTCCAGAAAAATTTCGGTGTTTTCTTTTTCATTTAATGTAAATACACACATTTCAAAGTTAAAACAACCTCAATAAACGCAGAGCAACTTTTCCGAAGTCTTCCCATGTTTTCCCAAATATGCCAGATAAGTGGAAGAGAATGCTAGTGAAAGAAGAAAAAGTTCCAATTCCTTCCAAATTAAGACTTTAAGTAACTTCAAAAGCTTTAAGGAGCTGGTCCAGTCTTTAAGTAACTGCTGATGAACACAGGTAGCAGAAGTAACAGGAGATCTCTGGCATGCTGATAATAAACTCTTGGCATATTAAAAAAAACTCCACAAGATTGCTACCATTAAGACAGTATTAGAGAATACTTAATATTTAAGCATGACGACCTACACTTAATGAGGCAATTATTACAACATTCAAACTGACATCAGTGCTGACCAATACAGTGAAAAAGAGATGTGAACCCAACCTAAGTTGTAACAGAAAAATTCTATTAGACACCACTGTAGAGGTACTACAGAAAGCCTGACTTAACTCCTTGACAAAAATCAGAATTTTTACATGGACCTACTACATGGGTAACAGAGACTGTGAAATGCTGCATATGCTTCTCATGCTGGCATTTTAAATGGAACCTTAAAATAATTAGAAAGGCTGCAGAGAATTGATTTGACAGTTCAAAATGCATTTTAGGGACAGATTTAAGGAGTACCAAGTTTCCTGTCAAAGACTAAAATAACAGTACTTTCAGCTTATTAGCATTCCCTCCTCAACTTTAAAAAAAGAGTATCTAATTCTTAGGGGACATTTTGGTGCCCCAAAATTTTGGCACACCAAAATTTAGTAAAAGCCACTGGCTCAAGTCCAAACCCAAGAAAATTCAAAGTCTAAATTAAGCACATATTGTTAAAAATGAAACAAGTCATGAAGAATATTCACTCCTGCTCCTATATCCTGATTTCATTAAATTAAGGTCAGGTGTACTTCCAGAAGGTGATTTATAATAAAATTTGAGTTCTCAGGCTTGTTCTAGTGTAACAGAAAGCAGTGGAATACCCAGTGAGATAAAGGTCAGACAACATCTATTTGTTCTGTCACTAAATATATGCTGAACTGTCTATTGGTTCTGAACTAAATATATGCTCTCCTTTCTGTCAGTCTTCATAACACCTTTCTTTTGTATGCACTTATTCCCAAGTGAGTTGATTATTGCTGTTTCCATAATTCCATGGCTGACCTCCCCATAAGATCAGAAATATTACTGCTTAATTTTTTAAAAGGGCATTAAAGACAATTAGCAGTTTTTGCTGCATCCCCCCGCCTTTCCCAGCTGCACTTCAAGGTGCTTTGCTAACACACACAGTTTCTACAACTTCGATATATGAAGAAATTGAAGTAAAAGGATAAAAGTCATATTCTCAAAATTACTGGAATATAAATATGGTATTATTTGAAGCATATAGTTTTCTTTCAAATATTGCAAATAAAGACAAAACAAAACACAAGAATGCTCCAGTCTTCTGAAATAATGTTAAGCTTACCTCTTCAACTTGGCCATCTTCACCCCCATCTTTTTCTTTGTCTTCCTCCTCCTCATCATCATAGTCTTCTTCCTCATCTTCTTCTTCTTCAGATGATGTGTCCCCTGCTCCATCAACTTGGAGAACGAGCGGTGCTTGTGGTTGTGCCTGTTGTTGTTGTGGTTGCTGCTGACCAGCTGCAGGAATCTGTGCTTGAGCTGGTGTAGGGGCAGCCACTGTTGTAGGTATGACTTGTGTTTTATTTCCTGTAAACAGGATCTGCTGAGGCTGAATAATCACTCCTGTCTGCTGGGAAATCCCTCCAGGGATAGGAGCCAAAACCTGATGGAATATCATTGCAAGTGCTGTGGCTGCTACCGTAACAGACTACCACATCACTCACAGAAAACAATTAAAGTATATCAACCTGACTTGCACTAGTTAAAGAAATGAGTTACAAAAATTCCACCTGTTTCAGAGAAGTATTATGTTCAACAATATACCTGCTTTCACTACTTGGTGGTAATTTTCTGCATTTCGCATTGCTGAATCTAAGAAAACCTGCTCTCATTCCATTCCAAAACATTAGCACTACTGTCATACCCGAGTTCCAAGCACAGCAGAGGAATGTTTAAATTCAAGTAAAAGATTATTTTTAAGCCTTCTTTATAAAGCATTTAGCTTTAAACTCTCTACAAATTGTTCTTCACGCTTAAATCGCAGAACTAAGTGACACAGTGCTAAACTCAATGCTTACACAGTCAGGACACACAGCTGAGCTTGTAGCTGAACAAAAATCATCGTAAAACATCCTGTATTCACTACTAAAATAATTAAGGGAGTTGTGTAAGCTTGCTTAGGTACTTTCTTCTATATTTTATGTGACACAGTAATTTTAACTGATAAACACATTTTTAGAAAGATGTAGACTGGGATTATTATATAGTTGTCAACAGGGGATGCACAAAAGAAATTTTAAACTGCAGCCAGTCAGAATTTGACAAGAATAAAAGTGACACTGAAAACACCACTTCAAAACTGTGCATTTTTAAAAAACACTTCTTAGCACAATTCTCTTTTTTTCTTTTTAAATACACCCTTTCTGACTTTGTGCCCTATTACAATTTGCTCACAAAAATGCAACCCTCTAGTAATTACTGCAGTGTTTTTTCTTTCAAGTGTACCTATTGAAATTTATTTTTTTTACCTGCTGTATAACAGGTGCTTGTACTCCACCAGGCTGCATCTGTGGTATGACCTGCTGCTGTAGAACAACTGGTTGCTGTGGTTGAATGATATACTGAGCTCCATTTGCAGTTCTAACTACTTGGAGGATCTGGCCTGTAATAAAATAAATGTCAAACTAATCAACTATAGAAATCACTTTTAGAATGATCATAATTTAGAAGCTTGTTTCCTGGAAGAACAGCAATGATAAATAAAGGAGAGTATTTACATTTCACTTTCATCAGTGAAAAGATACTATGCTGTAGCAGCTGTGTCTGAAACAAATACAGCTGTTTATCATCTGAATAGGATCATGAGGTATGCAATCCAAAAATATATTCACATATGCAGGCCAAAATCTAATCCTTTAACACAGCACAGTACTTTAAATATTAGCTCCCACTTCTCAATATTAATCATGTTTCAAAACATGATTTTACAGACAGAAATACAAATTAACATATACCAAAATAAGAACACAGGTATTCACACCACAAAGCCTCTATCCACTGCTGACGCTGTCATATTTCCAGGGTCCTGTTAGATTATTTCCTTTCCTCACATTATTTCCTCTAATTATCAAACTACAAGAAATTCCTCCACGCATAACTTTATTTGCAATATTATCATGCAGCTGCCTTTTTGAAAAATCTATCCCTACAGCTACTATCCAACTCACCTTTCTGTTCCCATAACATCTGTACTCCATTTTATTATCCTATAGATTTATCATTATATCTTTCCTCATTTCACAAAACACATCTTAGATTCAGATGCCTTTGGAAATGACTTCCACATCTGAAAAGGAAGCGCTAAGATATATTCCAACATTAGTTTTTCACATCTCTGATCAGAAAGATGTGGGAGAAGAAAATAAGTTAAATAATCCTGAATTTGACACAATTCCTTCAAAGACCAATTTTAGTTCTTGTTCTCCCTCCACAGCAAAATGCCAAGCCCTATTTACTGAAATAACTAAGTGTATCTGAAAGAAGAGTCTACCCTAGTCCCTTTATTTAAGAAAACAAACAATAATTATTTGTAACTGATGAAAAAAAATTATGACCGTAACAAAAGTAACAAATGAGAGCCACAGATTACTCTACGCTATGACACAGATGTGCTACCTGAAAAATTGAAAAGATGTTGATTTCTAGAACAGCTACACATATAGATTTTATTTCAACCACATATACATTAAACATTCAAATGTTTAAAGCAGGGAGGTTAAATCCCAGGTGATTGTGAGCAGACTAGATGAATCACCCTTGCCTACCTTCTTGCTTCATGCACTTCTCTAACAAGTGGGGAAACTTGCACAAAATCTAACCCAGACCACAGTTAGGTCAGAACCACAAGGTTCATAAGTCTACCAAGTCAATGCGCTAAAGAGTCCAAGACTAGTGGAGAGACTGCACTGCATTCTAAGCGTGGCTTCACAGGTTCTGACATATATTTTATCAATATATAACAGGGAGTAAAACTATAATTTTTTCCCAAACACCCTCAAAACCATTGATATGAATGTTACAACAGTTACCTGAATTTGTAAGTATCTGCTGAACAGGAGTAACACCAGCAGGGAGAGCCAATGTAGCCGCAGTGGCTGCAGCACTCTGTAATACAACAACAGCTTTTTAACCACAGACATTATTGCCGGTGTTTTATCTCGCTACATGCTGCCTGAAAAGACATACCTTTTTAGTGCTGTTTATAGTGTTTGCACTGTAGTTTCTGCAGCTACTGAAATGCAGGCATTAATCAACTCTACATTGTACTACATATAAAAATTATTTGCCTTCTTCCGTAATAGGAAGACTGAAGTAACAATCACTAAGCTAACACCTTAACGTAGGTCCACATGGTTTCTTGCTTTATCTGCAAGCTCAGATATTTTTTCCTCCTCTGCCAAGTACTCTAACAGAGTACAACACTGCACTGCTCATGTGGCAATTTTACTTACACTTTTGTAAAGCAGCTAAAGGTATGCCTACAAATCTGAAAAAACATACAGTACTGAAGCAGTGACCATGTTCCCGTCTTGTTTTCCCATGGAGCTGTAATCAGGTTTGCACTTTTCTTCATTCTGTAAATGAACTGCATTTCACGTACCACATTAACACAGCTCCTTTGACTGAATATATGCATACAGTGTACTCACTGGTCACAGAATGACTATTTTTTTGCTCTGAAGACAGCTAGTTAGAAGAGGAAGCTGAAGACTCTCAGTGGGTAGTGATTTGAACGTAAAAGGAAACTGAATACCAACACAATTATGGGAGCTCCAAACACAAAAATCTGCATTAAGTCCTTAACTCACAGAGCAAGACAGAATTCTCAATTTCAAGGGTCTAACTTCACCTGCCTATCAAAAAGCCTACTATACAGGAACCAGGGCTGCTCCCTCTTTGCTACAGAAAAGATGTAAATATTTTATTACAGAGTACACGCTTCCTGTTTATAAGACATATGAACTTCCTGTATTGGCTGGTTAACATAACAGTTAAAACTGCCAAAACCAGAGATCACCAAACAAACTGAAAAGTGCTTGTCTGCATCCTCATGTCCCAAACAAAGACAGATGAATAAACTCTCAATACTCTCTGCCTTCCATAACATTCAAGCTCTGTCAGATCCATTCTTATTACCATCTTAAATGTTTCTAAAAAAACCACACATAATAATTCCAGATTGATCCTGTAACTATTTACTGAACAGTAGTCTTCTGTGATATACAATTCATCTACATTTTGACAGCAGAAGAGTTTTAAAATCCGGCATACTCATTTTTCCAATGTCCATCAGTAAGATCTAACTGAATAAGACAAAGTTTAACTGTTGGACTTGGGAAGTTACAAATCACATTGAAATGACTGTAAAACATGTAGGAAAAGGCAAATGTTAATGTGCTCACAGGCTCTGGGTTAAATCACGCTACGCAAGTAACAAAGTTCAGGTTCTTTTCTATATTAAGGTCAGCAGGTAAGGGAGAAGTAAAGCTAAGCAACCTGTTGCAGCTTTGACTAATCACGAAACAAAGTTTCATGTGCTTTTACCATGAAAGTAGTAAGAATATAATGTAAGAATTCCAGTCTTAATACATGTATTTAACTTGTATTAGCTGTTGTCTTCACTTTGCAAACAATTTTTTTAATTAAGCCAGGGCATTTAAAGCAGGATAAGATAACCAAAATAAACCTCTACAGATAGAAACTGCAAGAAAGGGATGGATGATGATACCACTTCATATGCTACTATAAAAATTAGTGAATCAAATTAACATGACAAGACTGATGTGAATTGATAAATAATCTCTGATTTGATACAAGATTATGTTTCAGAGTAGTTAATGATTCTTCCTACATCTAGCCAATACAGTATGCTCGCACTAGTTAATAGTGTTGTGTTGGTAGACGAAGAGCACACCATCATGCAGATTCATACACACAGTACTCCAAATTATGTTTTTAAAAAAAAAAAAAAAAATGGGTTAAGCACATTTAAAGCAGAAGGTCAAGGTAACTCCTAGATTTGTTATCAAAGCTGAAGACCTAGGTTACTGTTCCTGGATTGTCAGTGCAGCAGTAAAACTCAGAAAGATGGCAAGCAGCTATGTAAGTGTGGCCTAAATTACTTTTAAGCACTGATGACTAATACCAGACTTGTTGTTTACTATTTAATCAAAACAACTTACATAATGACAGTGCATGCATATATAAACTTCTGCTTTTCTTACCATGCCTGTCGCATTCATGTGCGGTATAAGCTTGGAATCTGGCACGATAACTTGCTGCTGAGCTGCTAAAACAAACAAACAAAAAAAATAGCATTTCATGAAAACTATGCAGTCTGTCCAAAATAACATCAAAGCCAGAATAACTTAGAAAGAATACCACCCATACATCAGCCAAGCTTTGTAACACAAACGGCTACTGAGCAGTCTCTGCTCTTCATAGAATCATAGAATAGTTAGGGTTGGAAAGCACCTTAAGACCATCTTGTTCTAATCCCCCTGCCACGGGCAGGGACACCCTGCACTAAACCATGTCATGCAAGACTCCATCCAACCTGGCCTTGAATGCTGTCAGGGATGGATCATTCACAACTTCCTTTGGCAACCCATTCCAGTGCCTCATAACCCTCACAGTAACAAACTTCTTCTTTATATCTAACCTAAACTTTAGCAAACTTTTGGTAACTTCAGCTAGGGAAGACACCAAGAGCAGATAACTGCCCTACTCTAGATATTGGTCTAGTCTGAAGTGAGCATCCACATCAACTTCACATAAGCATCACCATGAACTACTCTAGAAAACTATATTCCAAATTAACAATGGTTCAAGAAATATCTGGGAATAAGGCACTTGAGACATTTAACAGACTGCCTACATATTTAAACACACATTATGCCTCAGAAGTCCTTGCTCTGGAGGAATGAAGAGTACTGAGTGTGGAAGAAGGAGCTGCTGCATGCAGAACCCACTGTCTCTCCACACAATTAAGGCAGCATTGTGCACAAGGAAGCACAGCAAGACATTACTAAGTTTTATTCTGAAGACAGTATACAGCAGCAGCTCTGAGAAGCTGGCAATTCTGCCTTCACAGATTTTATTTCAAGGGCTTCAGTTACCTATTCAAACCCCAAGTAAAGCAACATTTAGAATCTATTTCTGAAAGGTATTAGTGGAATGTTGATAAACTTGCTGACATCCAGTATCGGAGTTCTCCAAAAGCATCAATTCACTGTGGCTAATTCTTAAAATTGACTTAAGCAAGATGAAAAATATGTTAACAGAATGCAGCAGTTGGCCTGAGTTACATCTAATCAGCATAATCTTATGATCTAATGTAGCAGAAGCAGATGAAGTATAATCAACCACCTGTCCCACCCAGAAAAAAATACAAAATAGTTTTATGTGCTAAATGGAATAGAAAGCTTAACTATACAAATAACCTGCTGATAATCTAGAAGTGCAAAAGCGTCCTAGTGTGTGGAACAAGCAGGTTACCAGTGCTAATACAGTGGCAGCAAACTGGAAAATGACAGAACAATTTGAACAAACTAATCATCAACAAGGTATTCTCCATCCAATCCTATAAAGCAAGGACATTTAAGAATACTGAGTTTCTGGAACAGATCTGGGAGAGGGAAGGCCCACAACCCTTCACCAAGACCTGAGGCCATCTCTCCAACTTTCAGAAAATCCAGGGAGGGTAAAAGAGCCCCAGGACATCTTGTGATCCTGTGCCAGGACCACACACAGGAAAACAGGAATCACCTTTCCAGTTGTCCTGATCTCTCTGGGACCGCAACAGGTCATGCAAAGAACTACTACACCATCTCCCCCATGGAACAGAGAAGTCAAGTAATTCAGAAAACTGCATGTCTATGATTAAAGGGTTTTGATATTCTAATTCCATTTAGCCTCCACACTGTCATTTGGTTACAAGCCACAACATAGGGCAACAATAAATCAGTTTTAAGCGTATTACTACAGGCAGGATCTTTTCTACCCTAAGACACATATGGGAAGACATGGATCTCCCTATTAGCAGAATCACAGCTGTTCCACTAAGGCACCACTAGAGGTCTTGGTAAGCAGACTTTCCCAGTTCCACTGACTGGAATTTAAACCAAAACACTCGGGTTATTTGAAGCCACGTGTATTTAGGGCTCTTAATCTCAAAATTAGTCGAAACTGAGATATGTCCAGCCAAAATACAAGGTATTGTAAGATAGGTAGAAAGGTAAAAAACACCCAAACAACCCAAGCACCAAACAAAAAACCAACCAAACAAAAAAAACCCACCCCAACAACAGGTTCTTGCCACACTAGTTCTCATCCCTTTTGAACATACAGTGGTTGGGTTTGGGGGTAGAGACAGCTGAGGAACCAGCTCATAGTTATCTTTTGTACCTATAACACAGAGGTTCTGATCCATGAAACCTGATAAAATGACTGAAGTCTGTGACTATGACAGATACATATTTTACGCCACAATTTTAGTAGCACATTGAAAACTCAAGCATTTTGTAGGAGGCAGATTTGTTTACACAGCATATGTGCAGTAAAATCCAGCAGTATTTATCTTAGTTTTCAAATGAAATTGTAACTGGTAAAAATGTTTCCCTTAAATTAACGTCTCCCTTAAACTAACAGAGAATATACAAGGCAATGATTATAAGAAACAATACTGTGAATGGCTAGCTAAAATATACTTACACAGTACGCAATCTTCCAAGACCAGAAAACCACCCAGCCATTATGCTTTTTACTCAAAACTTATTCTAGCAGGAAAAACCATCTTCCAAACAGACTCTTATACAAGTATTTTTCACATCCCAGCATCCACTTACAGTAAACAGTATGGGGGTTTTAAACTAATTTGCTCCCAATCACACTAATACCTCAGGACTAAATTGTCAACTCCATATGTGTACCAGCTTGAAATCACAGAGCTGCTAATGAATCTTTGACAAAATCTGGAAGTCACGCACTCTGAGAACATAACTGACATAGCAGAAGACTGAAAGAAAAAATTCGCTTTTCCAAAATCTCCTGAAGAATACGGCTAACAGAAATACCAAGTTGCTGTCACCAAGCCAGCTCTCTTGATCCACTAAACAGACCCAAGTAGAGACAAAGTTAACATCAAAACACAAAAGTTATCCGTCAGATAAACATCCTGCCCTATATTTAGAACATACTAAGGAGCTGGTCTAACTTTAGAGCCTTTTGCCAGAGAGGTTAGAGAGAAGTCTGACCTTGCTGAGATGCTGGAATAAGGACCTGTTGTGGCTGAGACTGCTGCTGCACAGTCTGCTGTGGCTGAGGTTGTGTGTGATGATGGTGGTGATGATGCTGCTGTTGCTGCTGCTGTTGCTGCTGCTGCACCTGCAACAAAAGTTGCTGTTCTTCTGAATGGAAGCCATCTACAGCCTTGGACTGCATCAATTTGTTCTCCCACAGCTGGTTTGGAAAAGGAAAGAGAAATCTCCGTGTACCGTTTTTACTCAACAAGATTTTTAACAATATAAAGACAGTATTACAAAACTGAATTTTCAGAGTTTATCTTGTGCTGCTTACTTAGCCCAGAAAGCCCTCAGGAAAATACAGACTGAAGAAAAAACTCCAGACAGGTAATGCTTTAAAAAGAGGAACTAAATATCCCGTAAGAACTGTCAGTCCAAGCTTAAGTTTTAACATTCTTTATTTATCCAATTGCGAAAGATTTGTAATAGCCCTAACTGAAGCATGAATAGACTGGTAATTTTAGACTGGTAATTTTAAAGTAGCCTTCAAGTTTTCATTTCTCTACCTTCTCCCTTTCTTACCTCTTAAATCACAAAAACAGTTCTATATGTTCTTGTTTCCTCAAGCCATTTCTTCTTGGAACTCCTCAATAAAAGCTGCTCAAAGACTACTGCCTTACAACACAGTTCAACAGAAACTATCAGTATACCTAAGATAATACCTCTGTATAAGCATTTACATCGTTTCTATCACAATACCAAATTCAGCTTCTCCAGCCCTTCAGTTCTTGATACCAGCTGACATATCTCTGAAGAAAAAGCAGCTCTTATAAACAGACAGCAACACAAGTACTCCATAATACAACAGAGTCAAAAAGACTACAAACAAATAAGGCTCCTGTTGTGGTTTAAGCCCAGCTGGTAACTCAGAACCATGCAGCCTCTCACTCACTCCCCGCAACTTCTTCCTCCCCCTGCTCCTGGAGGGATAGGGAGGAGAATCAAAAGAATGTAACTCCCACGGGTTGATCAGGAACGAAGGTATAACACAAAACTACTACTGCTACCATCAGTAATGATAAGGGAAATAACAGGGGGAGAGAATTCAACCATTCACGACCTGCCAACCGACACCCAGCAGTGATCTTCCAGGTAACTGCCACCAATTTATATACTGCGCATGACATGCTGTGGTATGGAATACCCCTTTGGCTAGTTTGGGTCAGGTGTCCTGCCTCTGCTTCCTCCCAACTTCTCCTCCTCTCTGGCAGAGCATGACACTCAGAAAGTCCTTGGTCAGGGCAAACATTACTGAGCTACAACTAAGAACACTGGTGTTACCAGCATTGTTCCCAGGCTGAAAGTCAAAAACACAGCACTGCACCAGCTCCTAAGGAGAAAAATGACTGCTACTGCTGAATCCATGACAGCTCCCTAAGCCTTCCTCTTCAATACATTGTTTTCTTCTCAGTTCCTCCCTCTTTCAGCCTGTTCTGACATCACTTGCAGAACACGCCTGTGACACAGACACCACAATGCTTTTCTTACAGTGCTCACTTCATTATCCCCCAAGCAAGATCATGGTTTCATGGAAAAATTCTTTACCTGCTTTTGTCTAGTCAAACTCAACATTCCTTTCCCACTCCATCCATTTTTTAATACTTCAAAAATACTGAGACACAGGATGTCCTGCTTTCTGATGAAGTCCTTATTCAACAACTGAGATAAGTGGGCACCCAATTTCCCAGCTTCTTTTCACTTTATTTCTTTCCCTTTTTTTCTTTTCTCTTGCCTTTTGAAGGGCTTCTTTTACTCAGGAAGAACATGAAGAAAGCTGTAGTAGACCCATTAGAGCTCAGTTCAACATCCTCCCCTTCCTTTAAATCCTTGATAACAGCTCAAACCCACTGTATGTAAAACAATTCTGAATCTGCGATTTCTGGAAAAGCATGACACACACAGTGCAATTTATTATGTACCACCCTCCAGAAACAATACTTCAAGCCACAAACCATACATGCAAAAATCTGACAATGCAACTCCCCACCTTCAGAAAGACAAAAACCTCAAGCAGAGCAGGCGTTTTATTTACCCTGCAGAAAAACCTTAAGAATTGTCTGCCTCGAAAATAAGACATATTCTCTGCTCCTCCCCCCCCCCCCCTTTTTTTTTTTAAGATACAACATTTTGGGGACACAAAAAACACTGAATTTGGATGCCTGCTGCTAGTTTATATCTAAAGTTCAACATGACAGGGAAAATAAACAAGGTGAGCAGATCTCTCTATACAGCAGTGTAGTTCAAATTATACAGGGCTACAGATACGCAGATTAATGCAATGCTTCACTAACTTAAAATTAGAATTTTTACTGTGTACAACAGTAGCAGAGCCAAAAAACCAACTGCTGCATCAGTCTATTAAAAAAACCTTTTAAGCTGCAACTTACTGTTTTGAGTTCCATAAGAACTTGTTCATCCACTCCTTCATCCAGGAAAACTTCTCTGACATCATTGATGACATCTTCAATTACAGACCTGTACAATTTAGGCTTAAAAAAAAAAAAAAAGGTAACTGATCAGAACTGTTTTGAAAGAAACTTATGACTATAACATTAAAATAAGATATCATTTCCCCCCCCCTGCCCCAAACACCACTCTGAAAACTCTATTACAAAATACACTGCATGTTTCTGAGTAACTAAAATATCCAAGGAGGCACAAATCAGCAAGAATAGCTCAAATGAGGTGAAAAGGTTAAGGGAATGTTTGCTACCTTTCGTGACATAACTACAGCATGAGTTTTCAAGCACTGAGGAGTGTAACTCAAAACAGAGAAAAGGAGATTGTTTTCCATCCATTTTGTTACCTGCTCACCAATGTACATAGTGGTATTCAAAAATATTTGCACGTGTGCAAAATATTAATCTCAAAAAATGTTAAAAATTCAAAAGGATATTAGACAAATACAGACAAAAGAAATTTGTCAGTGCTTGCTAGCTCAACGGGAACTATACATGGCTCAGAATGTTCTCAAGCTGAAAAACACTGAAGATTCAAAAAACTGGAAGTATTCATGTGAATCTCCTTCCTTCGGCATCTGTTTATAAAACTACTGAAGAAACTATATAGGGCTAGACAGACTTCTGTTTTCCATCAGTACTTACATTTTTACATTAGAAATTTTTCAGAGAGACTATTCCATTATGCGGATTTTGGGCCTACACTGCCAATGGTGAATTGAATTGTCAATTTACTTAAGGTTGCCAAGAAGAACTGTGGAGTTTCCACTGCTAAAGATACCCAAAAGCCATCTGAACATGGTTGTGGGCAATCAACTGTAGGCGGCCCTGCTTACGCACAGATGATGCAAGATGACCTCCAGAAGTTCCTTCCAACCTCAACCATTCTGTGAATTTTAAAATGCAGGTACAGTTTTAAGAGAATATACATACTTAACCTGATCAATTAAAGCACAAAATTTAATTCACAAGACCAGAAGAAAATAGTACTATACACGTTCTGTACCTTTTAAACAGTACGGCTTGGACGTCTCTCATACATGTTAACCTCAACAGTATTTTGGTTGGGTTTAAATATCCATGCTATGTCATGCTGCAAGACAGCACTATAAGCTCTAAATTAGGGTTGATGAATCTGCAGCCTGTGAACCATATATGTCACTGACCAACACTTGCTTAGAATGGGGGTAGGCCATTTTTAAGCTCATCTGGAAGTAGCTACAACTTTCTGTAAGCTGACCTCTTCCTCTATAAAGTTCCATAACATCCTGAAGGAACAAATCCCAAATGATGTCACACACAAGATATGCCGTCTATATGCAAAACAATCACTCTCTGCTTGTGCAGTAGGTTTGGCACCCCAGGAGGGCTGTGTCTCAAATACACACATAGAAACCCTCCACCAAGCACATGCTGGAACTACAGGAGTGCTGGAACTATGCAGATTTACTGCACACACTTGAAACATGTATTGTATGCATACACAGTTGTCTGATGCCTCCCAGAACTGTTGGATTTGCTACATATATTCTAAAGATTATATTGCACATGTTAGGGAAATTGTTATGCCTATGTTATGGAATAATGGAGGGGGAATAACATCACATGATGTACTAGTCTGGGAAAAAGCTGAGTGGCCAATAAGCACAAAAAAAAAGTTGAGTATCTTCGCGTTAAAATGGTAAAAAAAGAAAAAAACAACCAAAAAAAGCCCACCACAACAATAACCAAACAACATAAAGGAATGCATTGATATTAGATGGGGATAAATTAACCTATTTGGAAGCCTGGAACTTAAAAAACTAAGCAGTCTGATAGCTGTATAGTGCATTATGTCCTTAGAATTTAAAACAAGCTCGCACTGGGACATAGTCAAGTGACTTTTCTTACGAGAAAAACCAAACAAACTAACATTTAGAAAAACCAGTAATAATACATAACCAGTAACAAGCCACTCTGTGTTACTGATCCCATATCAGTATTTTGGCAAGTGACATGCTATCAGCAACCTTTTTTTTTTTTTTTTATTTCATCAGTTTGCCACTTGCCACTTTTCAGCTTTAAAACATGCTGCTGCAAATCAAGTAACTGAAGTGTTAGAATTCATCCTTTTGTTACCTGTCTCACAAAAAATTCTAGCCCTAAGCAACAGTAAGTCTGCCATCTTTGAAAACTACGCTTACAGCACCTATGTTGAAAACTTAACTTCTTCAAAAGAAAAAAAACGTGCCAGACTACTTGCATACTTTTCTGTTTCAAAACAATACAGCATGCTCATGTTATCCAGGCTTCAAGTACAGAATTAATTATGTTTATAGAGACACTTAAAACAGACTTTCAAAGCCTATTTGAGTGCTATCATTTTAAATCTGCAGTTACTTAAAAATACCAAGCATCATTACCAAGATTATTTTTCCGCTTGGATTTAATTCACAGCAGATGCAAAAAGCCATTTTACTTAATGATATTAAGTCCTATTATTTATATAATGAAACAAAGCACATAAAGCTTAAACGATTAAACTAGCACAGAAATGCTACTTAACTTATTCCATATATTGTTCCTTATTGTATCAAAAGCATCTGCTGCTTAATGCCAAAACCACATTCTGCAAATAGACATGCTTAACCTCTGGCATGTGATTTGCTTTACTTCAGTCAAGAGAACTACCTGCATGTCTGAAATTACAATCAAAATTCCTGCAGGATGGAGACTTCATTTTCTCCTTCAATCTTCCTTTCTTTAAACCCTCTATTAGGTCCACTTTCCTAACAAAGCAGATTTTACACAAGCAAATTCTAAGAATTTCCCCCAGCAGTTACCTTCTCCTGTCTCCATAGTCAGGCATTCGTGTAATGTTTATTCATTACAAAGCCTCCTCAGTCTATAAAGCCATAGGAAAAAGTATCAACATTCATGTTGATATTTGTACAACAAACTGACCCTACAGTCCAAAAGTCTGCTTGGGAATGTTCCCTTCTTTTCCTGCTTAGTGAGGGGGAAAAAAACCCCACCCAAATGTAAGCTGGATGCTGGTTTCCGGTGTCCACCATTAGTGTAGCAAGAGAGCAGAAAGACAGGTTAAGAGCATAAGAGGTTCATTGTGCCATTGACACGGCATCCTTTTGCACAACTTCCAACAGCCCAAGCAAGCAGCTAAGCCCCCAAAAAGACAACGGCACCACAGGGGTGCAGTGACCCTAGTGCAGTGCTTAACAAACCCACCAGCAGTTTGCACATGCATGTGTCTCTCCACAGGAGCCACACAGTGCACTGGATATAAAGAAGGGTCAGAATTTTTGGATGCTGCTCTAATCACACAGTATCCCAATATATGATACAGTCATGGCTGTATACTTAGAAAGGAAGGAACAGAGAAGAAAACATCTTCACACTTTTTACACAATACTCAGAAAAATCCTGTTCGGTTGAAAATATTCCCTTCCATGCAGTTCTACTGAACATACAGCCCAGGTGGATGCAACACCTTTCACAGAGGGAGCAGCAATGCCTTCAAGAGCCATCCATAGTGGAATTTTGAAAAATATCACAGGATGCTCTTTTCTTACTTCAACAGAGGTGAATCCAGTAACATTACAAAACAGCCTTGAGCCCCAGTCTTGAAAAGGAAGCACACCGTACGGTTTTAGATATGCACTAAATGTTGGCTTTAAGCATTATTTATATGATGTTCAAGCTGTTTATACAAACCACCTAATACTGGAATTGAATGACAGAATTATTTTCATATATTGCTTACTCATAAAAAAAGAAACATGGTAACACAATTACTGAACAGGTGTGAAGATGGGACAGCAGGTGAGTTAAGCTTTTCAATAAATTTCAGTCAGCAAAAGCAATGAAAACATAATGGAAACTTTAAAGATTGCTATTAAAATAATCATGCGTTCATCTGGTTTATATTAAAGTGCCTCCCTCATAAAAAGTACATGGCTGTAAATTTCAAGCTCTTTTAAGAGCAAAATACTGAAATCACTCTTCAATAAACACTATTCCAAACACTTACTATAGATTAAAGACAACAATTAAAATTCCTGATTTATTAGATACAATCACAAACACACAGAAAAGATCTGAAATCTAGTACTTCCCCCTCCGGGAACACAAGGGAATAATTATATTTCACTTTCTCTGTGTATCTTGTAAAGAAAATGCCAAGTATGGTGAGACTGCTACACACGCACACGCTCCAAATCCAAGGAGCAACCAGCAAGCTATTTTAAGAAATGCCACATGCCTTTGGGGGCTTACACTTCCTACACTCCTCCAGTTCAAGACTACAAAAACTGCATCTCTTTGTAATTATTATCACAACACTTGGGATTTCAGCAATAACCAACACATTATGGAGAGATATACCATGGCATGCTTTGTGCACTTGACAGTAGTTTGGTTGCTTCTGCAGTTATCCCTGAAATACCACTAATCATTCTCCTATCTGTGCAGTCACAGATGGAAACTAGCTACATGACTGTTAAAGGAGCACACTGTAAAGTTTTAGTCACAATTACATCAAAGATGTGCATAGTAAGACTGTAAGCATTAAAATATTTATATCTTGCCATGAACTTTCACAAGTAAATTACCTTTGTCACCTACAGAATGTTATCCTGCATATAACTTAACATCTTGTATTTGTCCTTTATTAGGAAAAGCAGATTTCTAGCAATTCAGACTTGATCAGATGCTGACATAGTACTGCTGCCACATTAGACTCAAAGTCTAGCTTCCTAAAATTATCACCTGGTTTCAGTATTTCAAAATGTTCCTATTCATCTTTGGTAAGCCTAAGGTAAACACTGTGATCCCTGCTATGGAATGAAACTCAAATGTGACAAAGCTGACCATGCAACTGCATAGTTTTACTACTTAATTCAAAATCAAACTAACACATACCTACTATTTGAAGCACGTCTGGTTTAAGCTTGGATTTTGCTATTCCAAACTCAATGCTCAAACAGACACCTTCCAAGAGAACTTTACAGAAGTTATGACAGCACAGAAATACAGCCAAGAGAAAGCAAGTCCTAGTAAATTGCTGAATGGAAGATATTTACAATACTCTGTAGATTATTCAATATGTATATTTTGCTTAGTACTAACTTGGCCGAAAAACAAGCCCTTCAATTTAGTGTATGAAAAAAATCCTTTTCTTGTAATAAAAAAAAGCCAGCGATTTATAACAAAAGGACGTCTAACAGATTCAGATCGCACACATTCAACATGCATCCTACTGAGTAACTGCCTTGCATAATGGCTGACTACTTTCCTAACATGTCCTGATAAAAAACGTGATGAAGTAGCAAAGCAACGCTGCTGCTTCGCAATCGCATGACCTGAACTCACAGGCAAGTCTCTAAAATTTCAGATTTGAAAACTATGCTGCTTTCCATTCTTTTTTGTATACTGTTTTGCAGAATACCAAATATTGCAGGTAAAATAAATACTAGTGAAAATTCTAAAACCCTTGCCCTGCCTAGACTGTAATAAAAATATTTGTACACTTTAGTCAGCAGAAATACACAGAAATCACTGAGTACTATCTGTGGCCACTGACCCACAGACTGAACTTTAATATTAAATATAACTTGTAGGGCAACAACTGTAGTCAGACCTTGGCAAAACGCCATAAAGTAAGGACCACATCTCTCTTTGATGCGCTGAGTAAGGGCCGTTTAAAATCTTTTTCCCACCCAGCAAAAAAAAAAAAAAAAAAATACTTCGAACAGCTTATGGGGGCACTGCCATGTGTGCCACCAATATGCTGGGGACAAAGAACAAAAAAATAGAAAAGGTACAAAAAAAAAAGGAAAAAGACGTAAAAAAGGCAAACCGTTTCAAATGCACGAGAGGGTGAAAACTGTCTTTGTGCAATGCATAAAAGCAAAGCAAAGCCCATTTACACCGGCCAGGGCCGGCAGAAAGCATCACCGCTCCGCAAGCCGGTGGCGACGGGGACGGGCGGCATAGACGGAAGGGAAACCCGGCGAGAGCCCGACCGGGATGCGACAGACCGGCCACCCGCCTTCCAGCCTCCACCGCGGACGCATGCACCTCCCAACCCGCGCTCCGCGGTTCGCTCCCTATTTAAAGGCTGATGTGGTGTTTAAATGGAGAGGCGGTGACGTGGGGCTGGAAAGCACCTTCCCATCCGAGCAGAGTCTATATTAGAGAGCGGCAAAGCTCTATATAAACAGGGCAGCCACAGGGAGGAGGAACACAAGGAGCAGGGAGGCAGAAAAGCAGGGGGAAGCCATGATGGATCTGAGAGCCACAGACAAGGGGGCCGAGCCCGCCGACAGGACGCCGGGTTTGTCTCCTCCTGTGCTTCGGGGCGGGGGTCGCGGCCGGGGGCACACCAGGGGGAGCGGAGCGCGGCGGCCGTGGCCGGAGCCCGCGGAGGGCTGTGTGACTGCTTGTTGCAAACCTCCGTGAGCACAAGTGCAGCAGCTAGCCACCCGCCACGGTGCAGAAAGCACGAGAAGGGAACGGGGAAAGGGGATTTTTTTTTTTCTTTTTTTTTTTTTTCAAATAAATACTGCCTCGCTCCTCGACGGAGGGAAGTTGAGGGCTTTCGATCCGGCTGGGTTGGGATAAGTGCTTTACAACCATCGTCTCCTTGTTACAAAGCAACATAAAATGGCTCCAGCGGAGCCCGGGCGGGCTTCACCGACACCACAAAACCGAAACCTGGCTTGGGCGCCCCTTCCCTTCGCCTCGGGACAGCGGCGGACCGGGCGGCAGCGCCCGCGCTCTCCCGCCGCCCGCTCCGGCTCTCGCCCCTTCCCCTGGCGGCTTTCTCCAGCGGCAGCGCCGGCGCCCCCCCCCTGCCCTGCCCTTTCCCTCCCACCGGACCCCCGGCCCGCGGGCGGCGGCCCGACCCTGGCCTCCCCCACGGGGCCGCCCTGCCGCCCCCAAGCCGCCGCCCCGCGCCCCCGCCGCCCACAGCCCGCCACCCGCGGCTCCGCTTTCTCTCTTCCGCCGAGGCGGCCGGCGCCGGGCGCCACAAGTTGTCTCGCCGCCTCGGGGGCGAGGCTGCTTCGCGTCCCCCCCCCGGAGCCCCTTCCCGCCAGGGGCCGGGACCGCTCGAGGCGGGCGGGCGGCGGGAGGGAAGGGAGTGCGGGGGAGGGGGGCGGCGGGCCCGGCAGGCCACACTGGCCACCTCCGCCCGCGCTGCCCCCGGGGCCCCCCTCGCCCCCCGACCCGGTCCTTACCACGGGGTTTGTGTTAGTCGAGCTCGCCATGTCCCGAGCCCCCCGGGACGCCCCCAACCGCGGGGGGGGGAGTCGCCCCTAAAACAATAAACCTGCCTGGCTGCGTCCCCCCCAGATCCCGCGCGTCCCCGGCTCACGGGCTGCCCCGCGGCCTGGCCCGGCCTTTCTCGCCGGCCCTGGGGCTGCAGCCGCCGCCGCCAGCCGCCCGCTCTGCCCGCTTCGCCCCTTTATATAGCGAGAGCTGAGCAGCTGCGCGAGCGGCCAGGGCGAGAGGGGGACGCGGGCGGGGGGAAAGGAGGGGGGCGAGGCACCGCGAGAGCTGCGTGCGAGACCTCTCTTCGCAAGAAGTCGTCACGTGAGGTGCCCGCCCAGCCGCCATGACAGCTACCGAGGCGGAAGTAGCAGCAGGGCGTACTGCTGCTGGATCCTTCGCGGCCGGCTCTACCGAGGCGGAAGCGCTTGGTACCGCCCCGCGTGAGCCCCGCCTCTTCTGCGCCTGGCGTAACGGCGCCCGCTGAGGGGGCTGTTCAGTCTGCCGCCGCTAAGCTGAGCTTGTGCGCGGTCGGGAGGGGCTGTGGAGGGACAAGAGGAGGGGATCGCAACCGGAGATAGTAACTCGCCCCGGCTGAGTCCCTGGGATATACTTACTCCACGGCAGTCGAAACCTGCAGCCGTCTGCTTCAGGACAGAAATGTTATCTTCCTGGCCTACAAGAAGGGGGTGTTAAGCCCTACCTGGTCCGGTGGGCGCTGGTGCCTTCTCTCACATCCACTGTCTTCATGGCGTTTGTCTATGGCAGCCTGTGAGCAGCATGTAATACAGAAGTATCTTTTCAACCATTATTCCATTAAAATTAATTTAACCACTGCCACTTGGTCCTTAGCACTACTTTTGAATTCCACTCATCCTTTAGGTCTCCACCATTCACTTGGGTAAGTTCCTCTCAAGCATAATTGACGGCAGTGAATTCTGATGGGGCATACTCAAGGGATAGCAGGGAGAACATATCTTCAACATGTAATGTGGTGCAGACTACAGTTGTTTTGTTACCTTCAGCCTGCAGTCCTGCCTATTAATTAGCCCAAGTAACAAGTTCAGGAGTTCCTGCCTGTTCCCTTTTGGCAGGAAGGATTTGTTAATGGGTAGAGGAGACCTGTCTCTCCCATTTCTCCAAATCCTTAATTTCATCAGGAACAAACACTCCCCTTCTGGAGTTCAGACTTTTCTAGAGGGTTGTGACTGGTTTGCCATGGGCCAGCTAACAAAGCCACTGTTCACTGTGCACACTGCTGGAGCTCCAGATAACAAATCTAAAAGTTTCAGCAGACTACAGAAGCCTTACCCAGAAGGTAAGACCTGTGTGCATAGCCCTGTCAGTTTCTTGGATATTAATATCAAGTTACAATGCAGCACTGCAAACCCCAAGTGCCTCTAAAGAATATTGTTGCAAACAAAATCAAGACCTCACAAGAAATGCCTCGTTGAGTCAGACTAATGGCCCATCTAATTCATGGCAATTCAGCTGCTGCTCAGGGAGAGCAAGCAAGTTAGTTGCTTGCTTGGTGGAATCTGTTAACTTTGGTTTTCGCCAGCATCACAACTGCCTGCTGTATCAATTTTAGGGGATTCTACTTAATTCAGCTTTTTTTTTTTTAGACTGGAATAATGTACATGTTTTGTATAGAATCATAGAATCATTTAAATTAAACCTTAAAGTTCATCTAGTTCCAACCCACTACCACACAGGACATCATATGCAGGGGTGTAGTGACACCCCGTTGCTCAAAGCTCCACGAAACCTTGAAAATTTCTAGGAATGGGGCATCCACAACTTCTCTGAGCAACCTGTGCTGGTGTTTCACCACCCTTAAAGAATACTTTCCCAATATCTAATCTAAATTGACCATGTTTCAGTTTAAGCCATTCCCCCTTGTCCTGTCACTACATGCCTTTGTAAAAAATCCTTTCCAGCTTCCTTGTAGGCCCCTTTAGGTACTGGAAGGCTCCTATAAGAACTTCTGGAGCCTTTTCTTCTCCAGGTTGAACAAGCCAAACTCTCTCAGCCTGTCTTCATTAGCAGTGCTCCAGCCCTTTGATCATCTTTGTGACCCTCCTCTGGGAGTCGCTCAAACAGGTCTACATCCTTCTTGTGTTGGGGGCCTCAAAGCTGAAAACAGTACTACAGGTGGGGTCTCGTGAGCAGAATAGAGGGGGAGAGTCACCTCCCTCGACCTGGGAGTCACACTTCATTTGATACAGCCCAGGATATGGTTGGCTTGCAAGGCCTCAAGTGCACATTGTCAGGTCATGCTGAGCTTCTTGTCAACCAATGCCCCCAAGTCTTTCTCCCCAGGGCTGCTCTCAATCCCTTTTCCACCAAGCATGTAGCTGTGCTTGGGATTGCCCCAACCCAAGTGTACGACCTTGCCCTTGGCCTTGTTGAACTTCATGAAACTTCATGATACTTCATGAGGTTTGCATAGACACACACATCTCAAGCCTGTCCAGGTCTCAAATGTTTGAGACAAACAAATCATCTTTTATAGCCCACACTTTGTGCTCAGAGGCACAAGATCTACTTTGAATGTCCTCAATGATTCTGTCCTGTTAGTACCAGAAGCACCCCTTAATTCTCAGAAGAGCAAGCTACTTACTACCGCACGAGTAGCTTGCTAAGTTAATATAAAGGGTCTTAGACATTGAGATGGTTTTAGTTCATCTCCTTTTTGGTCTATCACAGAGCTACATCCTTTAGAAGAGAGATTTGTTAGAACTTGTGAGGAGGAAGCTGCAAAGCAGGGGGAAATAAATTCTCTTCAGTAAGATTTTTAGGTTGATTGCAGTTCCATACTAAAATTCTAGGGAAATACTAATAACTATTCTTTAGAGTGTATCTTTCAAGTAGATATTCTGCAAAGAAATAACTGATGTACAGGTACTTGCTAATGAGAGATGTGACACACTTGAGTCATGAAACTCAATGATGCTAAGTACCTGTGATTGCCACTGAAAGCCACCAGGTAGCAATTCAGATGAAAATAAGAGCAACACAATCTTGTTGCTAAGTCAAAACACAATAAATTTCAGTTATATGATCTTAATTTTTTGTTTGTGTTTTGTTTTAAATGGAGGCTTTTTGCTTAATTTGAAAATGGTAAAAAACCCTGAAGCTACTTTTCTGCCTCCCAAAAGCAGACAGAGTAAATCTGATCTCCTACACCTGGAGAAATCAGTACCAATGAGTATCAGCATGCCCTCATTTTTAGAATCATAGAATAGTTAGGGTTGGAAAGGAACTTAAGATCATCTAGTTCCAACCCCCCCTGCCATGGGCAGGGACACCTCTCACTAAACCATGTCACCCAAGGCTTCATCCAAACTGGCCTTGAACACTGCCAGGGATGGAGCATACACAGCTTCCCTGGGCAACCCACACTGCTTCCTCACCACCCTAACAGGAAAGAATTTCCTCCTTATATCCAATCTAAACTTCCCCTCTTTAAGTTTGAACCCATTGCCCCTTTTCCTATCACTACAGTCCCTAATGAAGAGTCCCTTCCCAGCATCCTTACAGGCCCCCTTCAGATACTGGAAGGCTGCTATGTGGTCTCTATGCAGCCTTCTCCAGGCTGAACAGCCCCAACTTTCTCAGCCTGTCTTCATATGGGAAGTGCTCCAGTCCCCTGGTCATCCTTGTAGCCCTCCTCTGGACTTGTTCCAACAGATCCATGTCCTTTTTGTGTTGAGGACATCAGAACTGCACACAATACTCCAAGTGAGGTCTCACAAGAGCAGAGTAGAGGGGCAGGATCACCTCCTTTGACCTGCTGGTCATGCACCTTTTGACACAGCCCAGGATGCGATTGGCTTTCTGGGCTGCAAGCACACACTGCTGGCTCATGTTCATTTTCTCATTGACCAACACCCCCAAGTCCTTCTCCTCAGGGCTGCTCTGAATCTCTTCTCTGCCCAGCCTGTAGCTGTGCCTGGGATTGCTCTGATCCAGGTGCAGGACCTTGCACTTGTCATGGTTAAACTTCATGAGTTTGGCATCAGCCCACCTCACAAGCGTGTCAAGGTCCCTCTGGATGGCATTCCTTCCCTCCAGTGTATCAACTGAACCACACAGCTTGGTGTCATTGGCAAACTTGCTGAGGGCGCACTCAATCCCACTGACCATGTCAGCGACAAAGATGTTGAACAAGACTGGTCCCAACACCAATCCCTGAGGGACACCACTTGTTACTTTTCTTTGAAAGCATTTCCGATCGTACAGCAAAGCATACAGTACCTACTATGAAATGTTGCTGACAGTTGTTTATAATTTCTTACTTCTTAAAAGAGAAAAGCATGTTAAGTATTATCATGTTGACTATTTCCACTCTGACCCTAGGGGGGCTGTTCATCAAGGAAAATAAAAACTTGTTTTAACACTATTACAGGAGGACAAATCTTAACACAGATGGCAGAACAAGTTTTGCCATAAGCATGCCTTTTAGATTTGTCACCATAGCTCTTGTCCACATTACCTGTTATGACCACATTGCTATTACATTGCTGTTGTAGTTGTGCTGGCATAGTCTCCCTCTGCGGGTATGAAGGCAGCATACAATATTACACTTTCTCCTTAAAAGCAAACTAAGCCATTGAACACTTTTCAGAAGGCTTTGGCAATGTAGTATTATTATTAGTGAAGGAAATGAACTTTCTGACCCAATCTCTGAAATGGCAATTTTCCAGAACAATGAGGAGATACATATATAACTTTAAATTACAACAGCATGTGTTAAAAGGATAAAACGAGAACAAACACAGAACCAAGCCAGTCTAGAAAATATTAACAGGGAAAAAAGCTGCTTGAAGTTATGTTCACTCTTTGTGAGTTTAGAACTTCACCTCTACGTTTAACTTGCTCTTGCTGCTTCCACTCACTGTACCAAAGAGAGAATATAACCTTAAATAAAATTTGAGCTCAAAAAAAGAAACAATAACTGACCCAAGCTGCAATCCAAAACTTCAGGCAAAGACAGAAGTTAACAACTTACATATCATACCAAAGATTTTATGGATGCAAGCAACCCTGAAGAGTCAAAGAGATGTTGACACTAATGGAGCTTTTCTGATACCAGTTTTAGAGACTGTTCATTTACTGTATAAACATTCTTTAATTAAAAGGAATAATTTATAGGGTGACATTTTTCTTCTAATATCCCTCATTTTCAGCACTAAGTTTCCCCAGAAAAATTTTTAAGCAAGACAGAAATGGAATGAAATATCTTCCATCACCCTTATTCCAACAGACCTCAATTTGTCTAGATGGATTTACTTTCACATTTAGAATTTGAAGCACAGCAATATGCT